CCACACTTTCACATACGCATATTACTACTCCCTCTGTCAATCAGATCCGGCGAAATTGTATTCAACATGATCGCAAAGTCTTTCGATAAATCAACTCAAGTGCTATTTCACTACCCTGTTGTAAGGCCAAATAAAAAAAAACATGTTTTGCGTCCTGTTTTTTGGAAAAATAGGAAGGAGGAGGCCCTTTCTTTTTCTCTCTTTCAAAATAGCCGCTCAAAATGGCCGCTCGGTACATTTTCCCTGTCAGTCGGGTTATTTATCAAGATGGCCGCCGACCTTTTTTAAAATCAGAAATAGATCCATTTTAGCAGTGTTTTTCATGTGTTTTTTTTCTTTAAAAAAAAAAAAAAATCAAAAAAATTTCAAAAAACAAAACAAAAAACAATCAAAACAATTCCAAAAAAAAAAAGGAGGCGGCCCCCAAAAAGGAAGCGGGCGGGGACGCTAAACATGTATATTCTTTACATGGCCTAATGCTTATTGAAATCCTGTTCGGAGTATTATGTCGTTGTTGTTTTCGCGCAAATTCAGTATAGGCGACACGCGAGGCTAGCTATTGAAATAAATAGCCGTATGCTGATTTTTTAATTTATTAAAGTCTTTTCAATCGTGTTTATGAAGCTTTAAAGCCCACTGTCCTACTTGTAGCTACTTGCTCCCTCTATATAGAAAACTTCTCCAATCGGTGCCTGTTGGTCCCCCATGATCCTCTTTTTCTTATGTTAGTTGAGAGCTGAGTTAATGAGATAGCCACCTGTCAGTGACCTTGCTGTGTGGCCTAATCCCTTCTGGCCCAGTAGTATTGATGGTCTTTAAGTTGGTTGTTGTAAGCGTTTGAAGCACCTTGTCATGGATCATTGAAGAACTACAAGACAGCAAAAACGCCTCTGCATTGACATACACTTTGTCGGTATGGTTTATACAAACAGGATTACGGATAACAAGGGTTTACATCTTCCCTCCGATTGGTGTATTATTTCGGAAGCAGTTACTTTGAAATATGTTGACGTCCAAAAGTGCAAACGGTAACATCTATTGAGAAAGGGAAGACGGGATTTCGTGATTGTTCAACTGTTCAAAGTGGACAATACTACTATCTTTTATAATCTATATACGGGCAATTAATAATTATAAGGTTAACCCTATTCATTATTATTTATTATTTATGTTGACAATTACTTATACAAGATCAAATTTTAGGAAACCAGCATAAAAAGGGGAAAAAAATCACTTTTTGATAGCATTGTTCATCTGTTTGCATTTTTATAAATTATAATTTGTTTATTTATGTTAACACTCTGTGCACTCGCGAGAGATACCCAGCACAAGATCTGGACACATGATGGGAATTTCAGAGTGAAAAATTTTTGCCATATGCTCGTTTAAAATTACGAAAGGTAAATTCTATTCAACAAAAAGGCGGGGAATTATGGAATAATATTGACAACTCAATAAAACATGTAACCATTCTTAGTTCTTTCAAGTCGAAATTCAAGTTGCGTCTTCTTGCCACATATAAATGACTTCCGTGATGCATACAATTACCATATAAATTATGTCGTTCTGTATTATAATTGTGTTTTAGTTTGTAATGTCCTGTATAAGTCTTGCATTTTGTTTTATTGTGATTGTTAATGTTTTGTATTTTCCACATTAGTCATTTATGTTATGGGTCTATCCACTTTTCTCAAGCCATCGGCTTTATCGGGTGCTAATGATTCAGTACAATTTTCAATGTATATTGTATGTGATTTTGTTATGAAATAATAAATTGAATTGATAATTGATTTAATACAACTATATAATATAACATATTTGAACATTCTGATCACCCCCCCCCCCTCCCACACACACCTGTCAAGGTAATACAAAGTTTTGGTATAAATGGGTTCATGAATTTGGTTCAAATGAATATATTGAAAGTATTATGCGATCCTACAATATTCGGTGATTGTTGTCACGGTTGAAATCGAGTCTAAAGTTATGAAATTGTAAATAATAAACTCTTTATGTCGTATAGCTCCTTCTCAATGCCTAGATATTAATTGAGCTATAAAACAATGTTTTATGACTAAAATCGACCGATTTGCTTTTTCCGTTGACAATTATATATCATAACTACATCTTTTGAGATTTTCATGGTCGCAGCTACCATTGTATGGCCGTAAGCGCTATTTGATATTTTATTTTTCTCGAAAGCAGAAGTGTTTTAGGGCTAAATTTTCCAGTGCTTATAAAACATCCACAGGGGCATCGAAATATATCAAAATTGTAAAGAATCACTATCCAGCCAATTTTCAAAATTTCCCAAAACTTTGTATTACCTTTGAAATAACTAATATCATAAAGATTTCGTTATGAGGACGTTTGGGGAAAAAGTGCAAAATCAATTTCAGTTGAAAAAATAGGTTATTTTTTTAAGTCTAAGCTATAGAGTTGATGTGACTTAAACACTGATTAAAGAAAGTTCTCAGGCCTATCTTTATCTGAAAATGGTTAACATGTTTGTTTTAAATATCTCCTCAGAATTGCTGAATGTCAATTTTCTTGTTCTCTTTTACTAATGTCCGATTCTTTTGCTCAAGCTTCAAATTCTCTGTATCACGAACTCTTATTTGAGGACTGACTGTCATTTTTTCCTTCATATTTCATAATCACTCCCTAATTGCTTTTTCTCGTAAATAACCAACATCCGAGTCTCTTTCTACAGCTTCCCTTTCTCTTCATCCCGAACTTTTATTTGAAAATGGTTTACATTTTCATGTAATTGAGTAATTACCCTGGTGAGTTCGTCATTTCTTGTTCTCCTTATCCAACGTCCGATTCTCTTTCTTCAACTTCCATATCTCCTTACGTAGTATCGTTGATAATAAACTGTTTAGATTTTCTCGATTAAGTAGTGCATCATTTCCTGGACGTCCAACCCTCAAGAGAACAATTCAAGATGTTTTCGTTTGATAGCCTAATAATTTTGTTTCTTTCATGAAAGTTAATGTCCTTCCTGTTCTCTTTAGAAGTCTTCTGATTCTCTTATACAATCGTGTAATGATGTTTGTTTGAGCAAAATAATAAACCTTGATAGATTTTCAGCGGGATAAGAACTCATTAACTTCAGACACTCTTTGTATGTTAATTCACATGTTTTTACGATTCCGGTCACGTTAGTCATCAGCTGGTAGATGCTTGGGGGGGGGGGGGGGGGGGGGGAGGTCCCTGGATATTTGCCAGTACATGATGTTGTTGTAGTCATTTCTTTATTTCAAAGAAAAGTATAGCATCACATGAATTTGCACAAGTGCATTTTCTCTTATCTTAATTTATTTTAAATATTTGTCGTAAAGAGTCAATGATCTTTGTAGCTTCATTGTTATGTACAGAGTTTTGAAAGCAATGATAGCATTTAGGTAGAGAAAAATTCGGATGTGTGAGTTGATATAAATGCAAAAATGCAGAAATTGTGGTTTCTACTTTATTATAGTCATTATAGGCCTATCAACATGATTTTTAAATATGCTTTTCTATCCCCTTATTCTCTCTCTCTCCCTCTCTCTCTCGCTCTCTCTCCCTCACACCGAACACAAACACGCACACGTTTTTCCCCGTCTCCCTCTTTACACACACGCACACGCCTGGACACATTCTCTCTCTTTCTCTTTTTATTTCAGCTGACATATTTGCCTAGTCCATCTAGTACAATTCACAAGGAACATAATCGGTAAAGAAACTCTTTCATTTGTATCATAAACATGATAAATACAACAGTTTATTGAATAAATTAGTATTTACAGTACAGTATATTATAAACCAACGGACCTGCCGCATATACCATCTTCTACCTTTTAATTCTATCATGAATATTTCAAAGTACATGTATTACATTGCAGAAGATGGTTCACACTAGGCATAGTTTCGTATAAAGACAGAGTGCAAAAAAATTTGCAAAATGATAGCAACTGTGGATTAGGGAGTGATAATTTTGAGTAACAATCTAAATTCTAAAATGTTTCGCTTAAAAGTATTTGCACGGCGTCGATGGATTAATCATTGTTCAACTTAAAACACAATGAATGGACTTGATCACAGTATAGTTTATGTTATATCCTGCATCAAAAATTTGTTGGCTTTTGATTGGTTGAGAGCTCGTCACATGACCAGAAATATTTGACCTATTTTTAGAAAGTACTATATGAGAGTACTATTTTGGTTTACTATTTTGGAGTTGAAAAAAAAATGTGAATTTTTTTTGGAATTGAATCAATTTTTTTTCTTCAAATCTTAATTAATGAAAACAAAATATTTTAAATCTTTTTAAATAAAAATTGACATTTTTTTGTTCTAATTTTTTTTCTTCCCAAAAATGTTTTTTGTTTTTTTGTTTTTTTGAATAAATTTTTGATGCAGGATATAAAACAAATATACCATGCCTTCTATTCGAGGTACTGGTTAAACTATGGGCCTCGGTGACTCCAAAAGTAAAATTTGCTTCGGGGCTGCGCCCCTCAGCAAATAGTACTATTGGAGTCACCTCTTGCGCATAGTTTTAACCAGAACCTCTCAAGGCAGTGTATATTTGTATAATATCAAGAAGTTTATAAACGATCGATTACAGGAAATTTGTTATACTCATCACGAAAGTCAGTCTGTATAAATAACCGTGAGAATTAATTTATGCCACGGATGACCTTTAACATAAAGCCGCCTGATCGTGTAAGAAATTTGAAATGTTTTATTTTCTGTCAAAAACTATACAAACAAAATTAAAAATGTTGTTGCATTTTTCGAATTATCATGACCCATTTTATTAAAGAAACCTGACAACATTTTGTGTAACATATTTTTCCTGCAACATTCAATTTCATGGCCACTTATAGGAAGGAATTTAAAGCTTGTACTTTGTTTAATATTTCAATTTCTTTCACTTCACATTCGGGAAAGCATTGTTTTGGATGAAATGAAAGTTGTGATGCCCAAACAATTACGTGAACGCACGTATTTTACTAATAGTAAAAAGAAGTCCATATTAGTTTCATGCCTATTCACGTTTTATGTTAGCACAATCATGGAGTTTTTCGACAGCGTGATTATTGGAGGCAACTAACTGAATTTTTCAGACGCACCCAACAGGTTACTGGAATATTGTAATATCATACATGTATATGACTAATTTTAATCGGTTGGCTACTCATTATGTTGCCTAGTTTCACAGAGTGCCTTACTAGTAGGCCTTTGTATTTTTTCTATAAATCACAATTATTCTGGTTGTCATTTAGAGAAGTGAAAATAAAGTGGAAATATAATTGAATGAATTGAAAGTGAAATTGTCTTTACAAAACGTGCTGTTTTAAAAGAGAGAGTGAGAGAGCTGGACAGCTAAAAAATAAGAGGAGGATGGGATGGAGAGATAGCATGAGAGAGGAGGAGAGAGAGAGGAGAGAGAGAGAGAGAGAGAGATAAATATATATATATAGAGAGAAAGAGAGATAGAAAGAAAAATAGAGAGAAAGAAAGGGGACGTTCCTTGATTAATCAAAGTGTCCCATTTTAGGCAAGTATGCAACCTTATTGTACTTTATCTGGTCGATGAACCCAATTGGGTCTCTACATCACGCGAAGCTGAGGTTGGAAGTCCGTGTATAACTTGTCTCTCCCTTCCTGGGGATGCGGCCCTTTTCATCGACTCTTGGATACACCACTGACATCGAGTTGGGGTGGGTGGGGGGGGGGGGGGACTAGGTTAAAGGGAGTGTAGCCTGACGAGACTATTGTGTCTTTCCCGTGGACTGACTCGGGGCCAATCGGGTATACGATTACGGACGACGCGACCGCAGCAATCAGGTGCATGCAACATACGCGAAACCGAAGCGTGAGGAGAACATGCGTGTAGAGATTAAGTCACTGACTACCGTTAATGAAGTCAATTCGTGCCATTCGTGTAGTTGTCCAAAAGGAGACGTAGATGGCGTTAACCAGTATTTGCCAAGCTACACTCCCTTTATATGATGTCTATCGTGCGATATGATGCTGTAAATCCTGAACGTGTTCCTGCAGAATCAGACCTAAATCGCATTTGGATCCAGTTCTGTAACGAAACGAAGGTACCCCCAGGTGTTTGAGATCCACAGAGCCTGGACAATTACAGGAGAAAAATAGAGAGTAAAGGAATATTAATACAACCAGTATCACTATAGTGGGGAGTTTCATGGCTGTAGCAAACGAGAACGAAAGCTGATAATACCGAGACTGTTGTATAGCTTGACTACTTGGAACTTATTCGAGGCTTCACGAAACCGACAGCCCACAAGACCGATATATCGGTCTCACAGTCTTACAACTCATCTTAAGGTTCAGGCGGGCCGTCGGTCTTTGGCTATGAACGAATATGCTATCACAACATTCAAATGATGATATTTTAAGACGAAAGATATTGTAAATTGGTTTCTCTATGTGCTACATCTTCATACTGAAATAGGACATTGCATTAACAAATTGGATTAGATGCAAGCTAGTCCGACATAACCAATTATTAACATAATTGAAATTGCACAGGAGTATTTTGTGAGCGTTTACAATCGCGTTATATCAACAAATCAACAGTGACGTAACCCCACCCTAGAACCTACCTCATAGGGACTTCGACTCCGCTTCCTGGGTTCACACTGACGTAGTCACCGGAGCACTGGGTCGAGGGCTCGACGTCGAGATGGTGAATGGTGAGCTCGACGCGACGTCCGACTGGAGCGACCATGGTATAGAAACAGACTGCGTTGGTGGAATAGTCGGCGGGATAATTCGGTGAGGCCATGGTGCCCGCGAGAGCTCCGAAATAACCACCGCACGAACCAACGAATTCTATTTGAAAAGCAAAATGGATTACGGTGTAAATAATTGATTCTACAGTATTCTGTTACAAAAACATTATTTTGTTTATTTCTGAACTAGAATTTGTAATCTGAAGGTTACAATACATCTGCCATTATTGTGTTCAGTTGGGTAGATTTTCCACGAAAACGAAACTTATATTTCCCAAGTAAGTAAAATAGACATCAAAAGCAATTATACAAGCATCAACAAAAACAATTTTCTACTTTCACCTGTTTTAATTTACTTTGTTGAAATATGTAACAATAGTAGGGCCTATCTATTCATATTTCGCGAAGTTTTCCCCTTGATACAAAGTGTGTAGAGGTGTCGTGGTCGAGTGGATACGCCACCGCACTGTCAATGACAAGGTCTGCGGTTCGAGCCCCACCGCGGCACTAATGTCCTTTGACAAAACATTGATCTACATTTGCCATACTCAACCCAGGTGATGTAAATAGGTACCTAGCAGGAATTAATTCCTTGAAATGCTAGAGCGCCGTAATGGCACCGTGCTAAAGCCAGGGTAATAATCGGAAGCGCCAGCTATGAGTGTCAAGTCTGACCTTGGACCTACTACGATATGAGTGCTTTACAAGAACCCGCTCTTATCATTATTGAAATGTTATCATTGGAGTTAAAATATCGAGAGGACATGTCAACGAACAGTGACGGTCGGCGTTACATTAAATCTAAATCAATATATATATATATATATTTGTTTGCTTTTTTGTTTTTTTATACATACCTCCACTCTCTTCTACGGTAGTTGTCGGCATTTGGGTTGTTGTCGTCGCCTGTGTCGTGGTCGTTGGCATTTGAGTTGTTGTCGTCGCCTGTATCGTGGTCGTTGGCAGTATGGTGGTAAGTTCATTACCGACCAGGGGCCCGTTGATGTAATATGTGGCCCGGAAACCACGACCGGTGACGAAGGGGTCAGAGTGGAAGGTCAAGATCATCTCGCTGTTCTGCGTATAGAACGCCGACGGAAGGTCACTGCCGCAAAAAGTTCTTCCTATCAGGTCGCGGTCACCCGATCGGACATTGAGGTAATCGTATTCGCAGTTTACGTGTTCCTCGAAGTCGAAATCATTGAAGACGAGCGTGATCGATGATCCCGGTCCTCCCTAAATAGATGAAATTTAGAAATATGTTGGTTTAATCATTTATAATCACAGACTTATCAGCATCTGGGAAAATTATATAGATTATCATGATTTCGGCGGGTTGAATTTAGTTTCTTTACTTTAAAACGAAATTAAATTTACTTTGATCTTTATGACTCGTTTTCATGTTTCTGATACGGCATGTTTGGTTGCCCCGCCCCTTCCCCCAGATTTCCAAACATGTTAAAGAATTGACAACTTTATATTTTCTTAGTTATTTTGTCTGTTGTCAAATATATTTAAAAACAAGAATTTATATGTTTACCCACACCCCCCCTCCTTTGAAATTTCTGAGGACTGTGCACCCTTATAGAAATATATTTGTCTCGCCTCTGCAAACTTCTTACACCAATCAATTTTGTTTATGTATTACCTGGATACGGTAGGTGCAGTCCAGCAAGTCGTCATAGTTATTCGGGTAGTTTACCGACTTGATCTCGGCGACGGCAGCCGTGAACGTGTGCACGCATTCTCCGGTGGGGCCTACGGGCTCCACAGGATCCCCGTTCTGCTGGCAGAAGGTCCCGCTATAGCCCGGTGGACACACGCAGTTGCAGTAGGGCCCCTGGTAGCCGTCGTTAAGGCATACGATCTCCGCCGTGCATTCCTCGTTGCACTTGTAGATGATGTTGGCGAGTTTGATGTCGAGGAAGCTGAGGTATTCGCGGTTGCCGAGGAGGCTCAGTTTGGAAGAATCCTTTGTGGTGATCGTTGGAAGGCCATTCTTGGAAAAGTACTGTATAGAGAAGATATAGGATTGTATAAATATTAATGAAAGTGTCATTTTATCATACAGGCCTAGTAAATAAACTGACTATAAACATCTACGAATGATAAGTTACTTGATTCCATATAGATCATAAACCTTCAATTTTGTGTATGTCTTATTTGATCACTAAACTCAACGGGTGTATACGCCTATATAAATCATAAACATAATCTATTTGTATTCTTCACAATAGTTTCTTTGGACGTGTTGAGAATTTAATTCATTATTCTTCATTACATAATCATTTACATACAAACATTTAAAGTAGGCAGAAATGGACAGATGTACTTGTCGGCTATTGAATATGCTTATGTTTGAAGCGGAATGAGACGTTTATTTTGTTGCATTTTCCGACAGAATAGTTAGTGTACCGACAATTAACAAATAAAGATATCTATGGGGGTAATATGTCACCCCTCCAAACAACCTTCTGAAGCTTTCATCAGAAGTCCAGATTAATTTGAGTAGTTCATATACCCCAGCAACACCGACGAGGCCGACACTAGACCAACATCAGACATGAAAGACTGAACGAACAATATTAATTTACCCTTCATGTTTAAAAAATGGTCGGTTTGGAATTTGTTGGCGGTGTGACTGAGGAGGAAGAAATTGAAATAAGAATAAATACATACATGGGTACCGTAGTGCATGAGCGAGCTGGGGTCGTAAGGGATCTCATGTGTGGTCACTTCATTGGTGGTATACTTGGCAAAGTTGACTTCGGTGCCGTCCTGTATGTTGTTCCAGTGGATGGTGACGTGGTCATCGCGATCGGGACGGGACTGCTCGTGATGGAACCCGATGGCGTGCCCGATCTCGTGCGCCACTGTACCGGGCTGTAATATGAAGAAAATGGTGATGACGATAAATCACTGATCACTGTATTATTGCATTACATCGGCTGCCAGCATGAATAATTTCGTATTGTCAGTGGCGGTAAGAGCCTTCGCGCGGCAAGCCGACGATTAGACAAAATAAAAGGTGCATACAACTGTAATCGTCTGCTGAAAGCCAGATGGCAGACGCACAAGAAGGACTTTATGATACTTTTGGGCAGGCTACTCAGTAGTTGAGATTAGTTCTCGTTTGATTTCATTTTCTTTCCATTTTGGGGGTGTGTGTTTTCTTAACCTCCATCTGTTTCGGGAGGCAAATTTCTTCTCTGCTCCATATTTCCTGTTCCATTGATATCGTGTTATTTAGAAGGAAAAGAAAATGATCACTCACTGCTTCACATCCAAAGCCGATGGATATGGGCTGAACGCCGGAGAACACCCGGCCGAGATACGACCAGCAGCCTCGTGAATCCTTCTGGAAGGACAGCCTTGAGTCGTGTCTGAGTTCGGTGTAGACCTGATCAGTGCTGTAAGACTGGAACTTGATACAGGTGTTGTCGGTCCACTGCTTCATACCAGCCATGATTACACCGATGTCACCAGCTGGACACGTATAAAATATAAATAATTAATTTACAGATATCAAAATGTAAACTCTTAATATGCAGCTGGGTGTATTAATAAGAATGTATTTTATAAGAAACCAAAGTCTTTGTCATAGGCGTATCACTCAGGGGGGGGGGGGGGGCTAGGGGCAAGGGAGACCGCGAACCCTCTTGAAATAAGAACCAAGCAAAGCTAGCATGGTTTAATGGTTTAAAGGTTGCTCCCAAATTTAAATATAGGCTCCTCGAAAGGGCTATTATAATTTTCAAAAGAATAGAGGCAAAAACGGTCCTGTAAAGTGTACACTTTCCTTGGTGCTGGGACAAAGAGGTTTGTAACTTAGATCCATCTCCAGATTGCCTGTAAGAGGACTAAAATTGAGTTTCTTGGAAAACTTCCATCTTCGGACAATCCTTGAGCCGCCCATAGTTGCTATGTCGGGCATTATCCAGCAATACGTACACAAAAGAGGTTGTGATTAATTACTGCAAAATGTATGTATATAAAAAATAGTCAACTTACCAGACTCGCTGGAGATCTCATACGGCACAGTCTTTAGCGGCCATCTTCTCTGCTCAAAGGCCACTGCTTTCCTCTTCTTTCTCCTCCTACCCGCATCACCACCATTGCCTTGGACGTTATCACCGAGCATAGCCCAGAGACTGGCCCATTGTTCATCCGTCATCATGATGTCAGACTGGAAAGCACCCTCACTCTCAGCCTCCATGGCGGAAGCAGGTACGTACACGTAGCCGTTCTAATCATAACGATATACAAAATGAATCTAATTAATGTCATGAGCACATTTAGAAGAGGGGAAATAAAATTTATTCACTTTTAAACGCAACGACCGAGAATCTAAATTGGAGACGACTTCTTTGAATTAAAGGTGATAAAAATTAGAAATAAAATAGCTATAGTAGGGGTCAGACGCGTACACAGGGGGGGGGAGGGGGGTTGGGGGTTAACCACCCCCCCCTTTGGTATTTGTATGTGTATAAACCCCCCAAACCATTACAAAAAACAAAAAAAAAAAAAATCCCCATGGGTAACCTAAAAAAGTTGACCTTACCCCCCCCCAACGGAGCAAAATGTCAAATTTTCAAATTTCGAGACAAAAAAAAAGTGTCCTCTTACCCCCCCCCCCCCCCCCCCCCCCCCCCGCTTAATCAGCGGCTGGCTGAGTCGTTGCGAAATTTTCGGCCTGATTTATAAATGTTAACCCCCCCCCCCCTCCCCTTGAAAAAAATCCTGCGTACGCGCCTGGTAGGGGTGGACATGACAATTTTTTTCATAAAAATAAATATATCCAAAAACTAACTAACACGGCGGTGTATTATTCTTTTTCTTTTGATATAATTGTTCATGATATCACATGGACTGATATCCTTTACGATGTGGTTGGATATAATCACCAACCGGAATTCCCACAATTTACAAAGGTGTGAATATATTTCATTGTTGCATCGTTTCTTTTATTTAGTCTGCCATTTATGAATTGTCTTTTTTTGTTTTCATTGCCTCGCAGGACAAGGACGAACCAAACAACTCTGCGTGGGAAATCCACCCACATTGTCAATATGTCCCAGCCTACTCTGAAATGTGTTTTTTTTTCTATTATTTTACTTTTTAAATTGTAACGAGTCATCTTGTAGACAACAACGCGGTTTAAAATTCCAGCTTCAAAAAAATCAATTGCTCACATGTCCGTGTTATAATAAGGAGCACGATTGACAACCTCTTTCACACAAATATGAATCGGAAGTTTCGTTTAGATCAAGAGAGAGAAAAGAAGAAAATTGGAATCTTATATAGTTATGTGACCAACCTTGAGAGTTTTTGAATAAATAGCACCAATCTAAGACAAGAGAGTCACGGATAACTGTTTGGTCTTTGTTATGTCCATTCTAGTATAAAAGGTCAACGTTTATAAGTCCACAAATACGAAATGGTTTTCACACCAAGTTGTGATTCCATAATATACTATTACCCCGGTCATTGGATTCAGTGCTTGCCCGCACACAATGTATTGGTATATACGTTGCATCATCTGAAGAAAGGAAATTGTGTAACAACCAATTTTGTATCAAACAAAAAAAGTGCAACTACCTTCTAAGTATAAGTTTTGTAAGGTTTTGAGTCTCGAAATTTGTCAGTATATCTCACGCCTAAAATAATGACCGCCAAACTTGTTGCGTCTGTATTCATTTCAAATAAAGTGAAAACATATTGACAGGCCAAATGGGACCAGGTGAAAATGTCGATGGATGAAAAAATAATTGTACGATGTAGATCTATACCTCGACGATAACGAATAAGTTTGTTTGGTATCGTAGATAAAGACGATAAACTACAAATGATTAATTGACACAGATTACTTTTTGAATAGGATAAAAAATTGACCGATATCAATACTACAATAATAGAAAGTTTTCAATGCTAATATCATGAGAACCACCAAGTGACTTTCTGGTATCAGAAACCTTTAAACATCCAATGGATTATCCACTATTTTCTTCTTTAAAAGCTAAACAATAAGAATAAAAAGAAGGGGGTTATAGGCACAATAGTAAATGGGGGAATGGTTTTGGGATAATGAAAGGGGACACAAATATAATTTAAAAAGAACATTAACAACATAAAAACAAACAACAAATATACATATTGAAGAGATCTTGTAAAACTTACGTCATCATCTGCTCCTCGTCGCTCTCGTCGGACATCTTTGGCCTTTGCGGGTGCGCCTTGAATCTCTAAGAGAAGAGTCATCACGATGATGAAAAGGACGACGATCGTCTTCATCTTCGCTGCCATATCTCGAGAAAATCTTAATAATACAAAGATTTATACGAATGACGATGTCGGGGAAGCTGATTCAAGACAGTAGGTTGTCTGTTACTGAAGGTCGAGATTGATGTTGTCCCGTGTGGCGTCGCTATAGATCTTGAAGATTTGCAGGAAGGTAGTTCCTATCTTGTCTAGGTCTCGTCGAGTTCTGATGACTCTCTGCTCCAGACTCCTCCCATTTATATAATCCCGCGGAGCCGGCCGGCGTCCAGACCGAAACCAGGGAAACAATTTGCTCTGTTTTGGGGAAAAACACTGATACTTTTCTTTTGTAATCTTAAATTAAACGATGATGCATCGCTACGTCTGCGAATAAACCAGTGAACCAAGACCAACTATCATTCTGGTACTCTACCCTGCTCATGCATATTCATGAGGAAGAGGCGAGCTCGCTTCGCATCATCAGATGAGAAGAAAGGATTAAATCCAACCCCTGATTTAAATAACAATATGCTAATTACATCGTCATAGACAGAGCGAAATAGGCTCCTTGAAAAGAGTGACGTTTTCTTTAGAATCGTCATGATGCCCATAATGTATTCGATCTTTGAAGACAGCACTGTACTATAGAGGCTTTTTTTATTTCGGCTAGGTCTTTCACGGGTGTGGATATGCCTGAATTAAGTGGGCGGTAAATAATAGTATATTATCTAGGGATTTCTCGATTTCTTTTCATCGAGGGTTCTTAAGAAATTATCTCAACTATGTATTTTTCCTGGAAATAGAATTAAAGTCATTCTTATTCTTTCAAATATTTCTTTTTCAATCGTTGACATGTAGGCATATAGTGTATTGTAATTGTGTCTATTTTTGATTTGTTTGTTTACGAGTTGCGTGGAAACTTTTCTTTTTGTTCTTCAATCTTGGGATTATCTTTAATTGTATTTTACCTGAAAATAGAATTCAAGTAATTCTTATTCTTACAATTTTTATTTTTCAATCTTTGAAATGTAACCCCAAAACGCCCCTAAAATCTTGATTATTGATTCAATGCATGTATACTTTTTCATTTTAAGTTTTACCTTAATATTTTTTTTAGGCCGCCATCCTAGTCAAGCATCGCTTATGATTGCGGTCTCCTGCACTTTTTCAACAGATAGTTTGGATAATACTTTAAATTTATAATAATATGTTATAGAAATATTAAATTTCGTCAAATTTTTTTTTACATCAGTGAAGTTATTATTGTTTTTATATTTTGTATTATAACTAACGTTTATATGTTCTTTGTTATTCAGTTATTTTATTTGGAAAAATGCAGAAATCAAATAAAATAAAATAAAATCAAATCAAATCAAATCAAATCTTTGTAAAAATGCATATTTCGGGGTCTCTAATGGCTAAAGCCGACGGCTATACTCGTATAGGCTCACATTTTTAATAAAATGTCTTGTGTAACATAAAATGGTAAATTTTGTTAGTGTTGCAATGGCTTAATATATCTACATATATTTTGGGAAAGGCTCAGATCTACAGTCCTATAGTCTTAAATGTTTCCCTAATCCTGCTGGTTCTAGATTGTCGTGGTCCGTGAAATAAAGAAAGACAGAATGACCTGAATAAGTAAGTAGGCTACCCAGTGGTGCGGGTACAATTTCGCTTCCTATATAAATTATCCCAACATCAACTTCCTAGTTTCTACATTTTCCACGAGCGAGCGAAGAAAGCGAGCAAATTTTGTTTTATATTTTACTAAATTTAAAATGAAATTTTCTCATAAAATATATTAGATGAGATGTATTAATTACAAACTAGACAACATCTAGGCCTATGTCCGAATATGACGTCCCAGTTGTCCAAAATAGCTGATTCGAAATTCTGGCTAGTACTCCAACACTGTAAATTCTTTGTGTAACGAATTTACGCAACATTGTGTGGTTCTCTCCTCACACAGGGGTTGCGTAAAGTTGTGTTTAAAAAAAATACACAACGAATTTGCAGTGTAGGGAAGATAGCTTTTGGCGCGGAACGAATAATGACTGTACATTTTCATTGTGAGTGAGCACAGGATCATGTTTTTTTTGGTTCAATCTTTATTTTCCTTTGCAGTGAAATGAGCAGACGAGTCAAACAATCCGAACAATAAGTGACATACATTCCCGGGTCTCTCCTCCAGACAGTCTTTATCTCTCTGAGAACATTTTCAAGTTCATTGTGATAACTTCTCGTCTTTTATTGACAGTTTTAAATCCGATCCATTAAATTCTTTCAGTACGAGTATGTTTTTGTAAAGTCCCACTAGACACTACTCTATTAACAATGCAGGCGTTACAAATGTCGATGACGTCATTAAACCTCACCTTGTTGAAATATTTTCACCTCGAAAAAGAAGAAAAAAGACGTCAACAGACGTGATGACCAAGGTTGAAATTTAGGCCTGAGTTTAGGGGTGATGTCTCCGTCTATATATTGTGTATTTTTCTTTCTTGACTTTGTGTACAGGGAATATTATTCAGTATGCGAGCCTTGTAATATATAATTCCCGTTGTTTTGTAAGGGTCTCTTCAGTCACACACAGGGGTGGCGATCCCGGGGGACGGTGGACATGTCTCTCCTCAATTTGTTTAGGGGATATCGTACCCCCGGAAAATTTGAAAAAGCCCCCCCCCCCCCCAAAAAAAGGGGGGGGGATAGCAAATACTGACTAAAGACTGCAACACACTTTAAGCCTCTGGGGGCCTTAGAGTGCAGCCGAGGTTTAGACTAATAAAGGTGCACAAATCTTCTCGCTCGGTCGCTACGCTCCCTCGCATAATATCCTTCAAAATGTTCAAGTAAATATTGTGGAAAATCCCTAAACAAAACTTCCGTCACCTTTGCCCCTCTCGTTCACTACGCTCCCTCGTCCCTCGTATTTTGTCCTCCCAGTCATGAAAGGAAATAGCCGCTCCTGGTCACACACATACTGTACCTTTAAACAAGAAGTATCTGGCTTTGGATCCCCTATATTTTGAGAAACAACATCGAACAATCGGTGACATCTCCGACTTCCACATCTAATGGTGTGATCTTTTTTTCCTTCTTCTCCATTTATACTTAAGTTTCAATTATAAGGGGAAAACACTCTCTTCATAAGACTAGAACGTTAAGGTCCCATTAATTTTGTAGGAGAGACACACCCCATGAACATTAATACGCTACAAGCAAAGTGTAGGGTGTAAACCCGGTGTTTAGTGTGCCTGCATACGAAATTGGTGCTCTTTCTACGGATTTTCGTGTTAGGCTGCATAGCCCTTTGAAGATTAGCAAAAGAAGACGTAGAAGACAAAATATTCTTCAGGGCTCGATATTCATGGGCCAGATCAATACAATTGACAACGATTTTGTTTTACGCTGTCCTTAAGAATTAGAATTATATTAAAGTTGTATAGCGCACCTAACCTTTTGCCTATAATGGCACCCAAGGCGCACAACAATCAAGAAATTACACGATAATAAAACTTAGTAAAAACGGACAACATATGCATTAACATCAAATGCAATGATGATATAGATTTAAAAACATTGAATACATAGTCACTGCTATCATTTCGTTACTATGGTTACAAACATAAATCAATTGTATATTTTGTCACGAGGAAAGTTTTCAGGTTCTTGTGGAAGACTGAAATTGATGCAATGGACTTGTGACTTGATGTATTAAGGGAATGTTGTCCAGAGGCGCGGGACAGGTTCGCAGAAGGTCCAAGCCCGTACAAACTTTTTTTAAGTAGGGGATCTTAGGGTTACAACTTTGAGTCAGAGGTGAGAGTGAGACATTGCGAGGGAGCGACCAAGCCCGAGAAATATTAAACGGCGAATACGCGGGGGGGGGGGTTATAGAGCAAACTTTTGTTTTAATCACCACCCCCCCCCCCCAACTTCAGCAACAAAAAAAAAAAAAGCAAAAAAAAAAAAATCCTTTTTCTTTTCTTAAGGGGGGGGGGGGGGTGGGGGTTCGCGAACCGAACCCCCGAACCCCTAGTTTGTACGGGCCTGAGGTCCTATAGCTTGTCGAAGTTTATCGTATATAGATTAACAGATAATTTACAGATTAACTCTTTGTGGAAGTAACTTTTAGGAATCGTCGATTATCAATAGCGATTTTATGTGGATCCCAGGCTCTGCAATGACTTAACAAACAACCAAATCTAATAACAGTTTTTCACCGTGGGTAGCTAGTCAAAATGCATTTCAGTTCTGGACAGTAATACAATGTTTTGTCTCTTTTGGACGTCCTTTTTCATACTGTTACATGCACTTTGACGAATGTCAGAACAAAAGAGCGATAAATCTTTATCAAAAGAAACTAATTAAAAATGAACAAGTGTATAATATAATATTGTTAGTTTATATTGCGGCTTAAATGTTACAATATCAATAAATCGCAATTTTGGCTGAAACCATTTCATGTTCCAGTACATTATTATTGTCTTTTAAAAATCTACAATGTGGTGTTTAATATTAAAAGATGATTAAATAAGATAGAGTATCGTTTCCGTCTGCTTAATACAAAAACACCACCAAGAAGAATAGAAAAGAAACGTTTCTATACTGTAAAAACAAGTAGAAACCCAGTAAACAAATAGAAAGTATTGTCACACTTAGAGGTGTTTTTTTTCTTCAATACAAATATAGGTCACGGGGAGACACTCGAAAAGGTATATATTGAGAGAGAGAGAGAGAGAGAGAGAGAGAGGGGGTGGTCGTTTGTTGGAATAAAGGATGTCAATATACAGTATATATTTATACCCCCCCCCCCCCCCCCCCCATATTAGCGAGCTTTCGATTTAGGCACCCGACGTCGGCTACTACGAGGTACTGGAGCGTGGAGACGTCGCGCAGCTCACGTCCGTTCCCTTCGCGGCAGTGCTTTCGACTTTTCACGACGGTGCACCGTCGTGAAAAGTCAAAAATTGGTCACGTGACCAATTTTTGAGATCATGTGATTAAATCAGGGCATAAATTCACAGTGCACGAAAATCTGATACGAAGAATAACGTAAGGATGACAGAAATAGAAAATTAGAATAATAAAACAAAAAATAACACAAGGAAAGACATAAAGAGAAAGTGATAGGAGAATATACAAAGGATAGCAAGAGGAAATGATAAAAACGAAGAATAACATAAAAGAAGGTGATAGAAGGGAGACACATGGAATACCATAATGAAAGACAGAAAGAGAAATAGATAGAATTATAAAACAAAGAATAACATAAGGAAAGATAAAAAGAGGAAGTGACATAATGATCGAAACGAAGAATAACATAAAAGAAGGTTATAGAAGGAAGAAACAAAGAATAACATAAGGAAAGACAGAAAGACTAAGTAATAGAATGATAAAGCAAAGAATAACATAAGAAAAGGTGGTAGAAAAAGAAACAAACGATAGCAAGAGGAAATAATAGAATAATAAAAACAAAGAATAACATAAAAGAAGCTGATGAAACTGCACTCACGTTGACGTTTTCATGGCGACGGGGATTCACAGAAATTGCCCCCGACTCTAGTCGTGTGATTTAGAAGGGAACGCGGGCCCAGAAGGTCACGCATGCGCAGGGGATAAATATAACGTCACGCGTAGTAGCTCACGGTGCGTAAAATCGAAAGCTTGCTATAACAAAAAATAGAAACTGTCGTTGTTATAGCTCCCCCTAATTCTGCTTTGTTAGTCGCTCTTATTTCCGTCCACCCACCCTTCCTTTTCACTTTTCATTTTCTTCTTTTTCTTCTTCTGTTGAAGTAGGCCACCATGTTGTTGATGTATCTTCGTGCTTTGAAGTTGTGCATGTAGGCTCAGTAGCGTACGCAGGATTTTTTCAAGGGGGGGGGGGGGGGGTTAACATTTTTAAATCGGGCAAAATTTAAAAATGACTGAGCCAGCCGCTGAATAAGCGGGGGTGGGGGGATAAGAGGACACTATTTTAATTTTTTTTTGGTCTCGAAATTTGAGAATTTGACATTTTGTTCCGTTGGGGGGGGGGGGGGGGGCGGGCCGGGCCGGGGGGGGGGGGGGGGTAAGGTCACCTTTTTTAGGTCAGCCATTTTAATAATTTTTTTAAATGTTGTTATTAAAACAAAATTTAAAAAAAATCACTAAGGGACTAAGGGGGGGGGGGGTTGCTCCAAAGTACACACATTTTAAAAAACTGAAGGGGGTTCAACCCTGACCCCCCCCCCCCGTGCGTACGCGCCTGTGTAGGCTACAGTGCTGTGAAAGATCTAATCTATCTTTGTGCGGTTAAAAAGAACAGGCGCAATCCTAGCGCAACTGTGTTTTCTGCACCTCAGTCTTAAAGGTACTATGTCCCATTTGCAGGCCAAAAAAAGGAAAAAGTTAAATTCTAACGGCATTTGAAAGATAATAATAATTTAGAACTTCCCTCAAAAAGATGGGGCTTGAAAACGTCTTCAAGTGGGAAAGTAACGACTATTAGTTGTCAAATCGACTTAGGAGCTATAGAGCCAATAAGTAATAGTCTTGATTTTCAGACCATTGAACCGAATGGTCATACCCTTTTATGCTGCGCAAAGGTTCAATCTGTTTAATTTTGACCATCACAAGAAGTGGGTTATTGATGTAGACAAATGCTCATGTACCCTTTACAGCTCATTTTATGTATGTTATTACCAAAGAAGAAGAAAAGCCAGTCAGTCATTCAATAGTGTCTGACAGTGAAGTCTAGCAAGTAAACGGGTTTCCCTGCATAATTTGAATATTAGGACACTGCTAACGTTTAAATTTCACAGGTAGGACATACATGACATATTCATAATTCCTGCAAAGTTCTACAGAATTTGAGGTTGGCTGCAAAAGGGACATAGTACCATTAAAGCTGGCTACTTCAACCTATATTAATTATTTTCACCTCTCTCTCTCTCTCTCCTTGCATATAAATACTTTATGGGGGCACAGCAATGGACTAATGGCATATCAGACCTCATGTCTCGTTAACTTAATTATTTTTTTCTGAAATCGGCTTACCGAGTAATGATGTGTAGTAGCCTATGCTGTCGCCCTCTCCTCCTCCCCCCTCCCTTTCGTTTGACCCTTGCTTTTCTCTCACATCAGAACCTTTGACAAAAACTCGCTCGCACCGATTGTATTCCCCCTGTTTATTATCACCTACGATCTGATGTCCACTAATTGAAACTCGAAGCATCAAGTTATCATCATTATGTCGGTATACGCAGCTAAATTACATTGCATACTTGCTGTAACTCTTGGCTCACTCTCTCTTTCCATCTTTTCTTCACTGCTCTACCCACCTCCTCTGCCCCCCCCCCCCCCCCCACTCAGAGGTCGGAATGATCCCATGCGTGTTACCAAAATGTCCGGTAAAGGGGTACTTTTCGTGCGACAAAGTCCGGCCCGAGAATTGTAAAAAAAAAAAAGGGGTGTATTAACTTTTCACCCGGAGATTTCTTTAAAAAAAAGGGGGGGGGGGTTCTTTTTTTCTCTCATTTCTTTGGACTCCTGAGAAATTATTCCGAATTTAGGGGGGTACATTGAGTATTTTTCATGATTTAGGGGGGTCTCCAAGGCAAGAAAAGCCCGCAAAAAGCCCGCGAAAGGGGGGTTCGGAAATGTTGGCAGTCCTCAGATAGGGGGTGCTTTCAAAAAGAGGGAACGAGCATATGCGTACCCTAAATAACACAGAGGTGGGGGGGGGGGGGGGGGGGGGGGCGGGCGGGCCTCTGCCTACCTTTGGTCCTTTTCTACTCTCGCCCTCTATTGGCACCCTCGTCATACAAAACTGATTTCTTGTAACCTGCCCAACTAAAGATGTTATGATTGTATTTTACCATTACTGTAATTGTCCAAGTTTATGATTATTTATTTTTTGTAAGTTGTAACTTTTACCAGTGAAAACGAATGGATAATTAATGCTTAATTTCAATTTTCAATGAATAATCAATAAGCCAATTTCTTGAAAGTCTGTGTGATCACGTTACATGTAAGTATGTAAAGTGTGTAGCAGAAAAGTGGTTACACCCTTATTGGTCCTAGGCTAAATTATGATGCAACGTTAGGGTTCAACTACACTGGCTTAACCCAACTCCAAACTTGAACAAGACACTAATACTACCATGTGAGTCAAAAAAAAGTTTACACCTAGAAAATTGCTAATTATTTTAAAAATCATCTATGAACAGTGAATTATTATACATCTTATGAAAGAGTGTTTTATTCCAAATCATTTGGTATCATTTTGTGTTGTATGTGTTCACGCTTGTATGAACACGAAGCGTTGTTTGCGAGAGTGCAAAAATCGACTTGCGCCAAAGTGATGCGTACAGTCTGTATTGTGTTGGGATTAATGGAGTGAGAGAATGAATTAAATGTATCAGATGAAATGCATTGCAGGGGCGTACGCAGGATTTTTTCAAGGGGGGGGTTTTAAAATATTTTGCTCCCGAAAATTTGAAAAATCGCGCCGGCCGAAAAGTCGCTCAGTGGGGGGGGGGGGGGGGGGGGGGGGGGGAGGCCAAAAAAAAATCGCAACGACTCAGCCAGCAGAAAAGTCGCTAAGTGGGGGGGGGGGGGGGGGGGGGGGGGGGGGGGGGGTAAGCGGACACTTTTTTTTTTTTTTTTTTTTGGAGGCCAAAAAAAATCGCAACGACTCAGCCGGCAGAAAAGTCGCTCAGTGGGGGGGGGGGGGGGGGGGGGGGGGTAAGCGGACACTTTTTTTTTTTTTTTGGTCTCAAAATTTCAAAATTTGACATTTTTTACGTATGGGGGGGGGGTAAGGTCACCTTATTTAGGTTGGCCGTGGGTATAATTTTTTTTTTTTTTTTTTTTTTTTTTTTTTTTTATAAAAAAAAAAAAACAAACAAACAAAAAAAAAAACAAAGGGGGGGGGGGGGTTTAGGTTTTTTTTAGGGGGGTTTACATACATCGAAATACCAAAGGGGGGGTTTGAACCCCCAAAACACCCCCCCTGCGTACGCCCCTGATGCATTGCATATGCTTTTTGCAAAGGGCAAAGTCACACCACCCACACACACGCGCACAAATGTTCGTTGATATTTGATATTTGATATGTGTGGCATGATTAATTTTGTTAGGGATGTTATTTGGATCTGCAAAGACCGAATTAATACCCAAATCCAAATTGTTTTATTCAAACATCACATAAGCAACTTTGGCGCAAGTCGATTTTTACACTCTCGCAAACAATGCCTCGTGTTCATCCAAGCGCGAACACAAAAATGGTACCAAATGATTTGGGATAAAACACTCTTTCATATGATGTATAATCATTTACTGTTCACAAATGATTTTTAAAATAATTAGCAATTGTCTAGGTGTAAACTTTTTTTGACTCACTCTGTACAGTGTATACCTGCCAGCCTTTGGCTGAGAAAATACAAATCTTTCAAAGCAAAATTAGGAAATGTGGTGTACTTTGTATGCTTATTCACATACATTTTAAGTAAGAGATATGAATCTAGGGTTCTACGTAGACCTAAAAGTAAGAATTATTCCTCCAAAATGAGAACAGTTGGCAGCTATGACACCACACATCAAGAATTCAATAAAAAAATACCAATATGTTGAAAATCACTTTGTTTATTCAAAACAAAACAAAGGGCAAGAGAGTCAATTAATTTGTATTTACACAATAAAATGTTGACCAGAGCATAAGTATGAAAAATAAAATATGCAAAGTAGAACCATGCACTCATATGCACATACAAGTTCTCAAGCAGGTAAAATCTAATGCACACATGTACTAGTATGAAATACTTTCACAGAAAGAACAAATATTTGCTTGAAATACGAGTAAGCAACACACGAATTGAGAGAGGTTCAGAATATAAAATCAATTTAAAACAATCAAGATAACATCTATCATTTAATAAATAACATTTCAGTGAGATGTTCTAGTTTTTTTTTTTTTTTTTTTTTGGGGGGGGGGGGGGGCATTTACAGCTGTATCACAGGTAATTGTGATTTTCGGGTTTTCGCCTCCTTCCGTATCTGAATTATTACTGTATACTCTATGTTGAAATCATTGTTACATATATAATATATATATATACATTGTGTTTCATATTGTAATGTTTAAAGGAAAAAAAATGTTAATAAATACAAAATAAATACAAAATTGTGAACTGGGAGTAATATGCAATGTATTTTCATAATATCTATGAGGAAACTGCCTGTTCATTCACATTATTTATAGTAAAAGACAGCATAATTGCAATACAGATGAATAAATTCATGACCCTGTCCTCCGATTGAAAACAAAAAGAGATTCTATTTCATTTTTGAAGCAGCATTGCATAAATAAAAGGATTTCCCAGATTGTCGAGAATAGTTTTCAAAATATCTTTGGCACGGTTGATAGTTCACTGTGGTTGCGTGTTATTAGACTAAATGTCAGACATGTGGAACGTTTCTCTCCTGGGACTCATTTCACAAAGTCTTTTTCAATGACAAATGACAAAAATCAATGACAAACCTGCTGATAAGCAATCAGAAGCAAGGATTTCACTAGATTATTACAAAAACTGTATTTGTCACTGATGACAAGTTTTGTGAAATGGGGCCCAGGGCTGTGAGACCATACCAAAACAAAAAATACATATTTTTTATTACTTTTTAGGGTACACATGCACTTTCTTGTAGTCCTGTTAACATGACATATTATAAAATAAAGTACAAGTGATCAAGCATGCTGGGAAAATACACCCAGTTCTTTCTCCTCCTACCCGCATCACCACCATTGCCTTGGACGTTATCACCGAGCATAGCCCAGAGACTGGCCCATTGTTCATCCGTCATCATGATGTCAGACTGGAAAGCGCCCTCACTCTCAGCCTCCATGGCGGAAGCAGGTACGTACACGTAGCCGTTCTAATCATAACGATATACAAAATGAATCTAATTAATGTCATGAGCACAAGTCATTTAGAAGAGGGGAAATAAAATTTATTCACTTTTAAACGCAACGACCGAGAATCTAAATTGGAAACGACTTCTTTGAATTAAAGGTGATAAAAATTAGAAATAAAATAGCTATAGTAGGGGTCAGACGCGTACACAGGGGGGGGGGGGGGGGTTAGGGGTTAACCACCCCCCTTTGGTATTTTTATGTGTATAAACCCCCCCAAACCCCCCTAACCCCCCCCCCTTTTTTTTATTACCAAAAAAAAAAAAAAAAAAAAAATCCCCATGGGTAACCTAAAAAAGTTGACCTTACCCCCCCCCCCAACGGAGCACAATGTCAAATTTTCAAATTTCGAGACAAAAAAAAAGTGTCCTCTTACCCCCCCCCCCCCCCCCCCCCCCGCTTAATCAGCGGCTGGCTGAGTCGTTGCGAAATTTTCGGCCTGATTTATAAATGTTAACCCCCCCCCCCCTCCCCTTGAAAAAAATCCTGCGTACGCGCCTGGTAGGGGTGGACATGACAATTTTTTCATAAAAATAAATATATCCAAAAACTAACTAACACGGCGGTGTATTATTCTTTTTCTTTTGATATAATTGTTCATGATATTCGCATGGACTGATATCCTTTACGATGTGGTTGGATATAATCACCAACCGGAATTCCCACAATTTACAAAGGTGTGAATATATTTCATTGTTGCATCGTTTTTTTTTTATTTAGTCTGCCATTTATGAATTGTCTTTTTTTGTTTTCATTGCCTCGCAGGACAAGGACGAACCAAACAACTCTGCGTGGGAAATCCACCCACATTGTCAATAGTTCCCAGCCTACTCTGAAATATGTTTATTTTCTTTTTCTATTATTTTACTTAAGGCCCGGTCACACAGCCCTCCACGGGCGTATCGCGGCCGAATCACGGCCAAAAATTTCTGCCCGTGAAGCAGACGCTGTTGGACGCTTGAGGTCGCGATAAAGACGCGATACAGCCGTACTTTACCCGTCGTTACACGCGGTAAGAAATTCACACGCGGTTGGCCGCGCGAAAAAGTTTTGGGCTGCCCAAAAATTTAGACCGCGGGTAATCGCGGGCGGTACACGTGGTACACACGCGGTAAAGACGCGGTACAGACGCGGAACGAACGTGCTAGGACGTGCTACGGCCGCGGTTAAGACGTGGTTACACGCGGAATTGGACGCGAAATTTTAGCGGGTAATCGCGGGTGGAGCACGGTCATAGCACGTTTGTTCCGCGTCTGTACCGCGTTGTTACCACGTGCATTAGCGTGTGTACCGCGTGTAAGCGTGGTAGGCCGCGGTACCGCCGCGCTTCACCCGCGATAAGGACGCGGAACAGTCGCCGGCGTCTGTTCCGCGGGCATACCACGGGTAAACCGCGGGTAAGCCAATTTTGCACATTTTCCACCACGGGCAACCGCGGGCAAAAAAAAATCGCGAAATTTTACCCGCGATACAGACGCGAAAGGCTGTGTGACCGGGCCTTTAAATTGTAACGAGTCATCTTGTAGACAACAACGCGGTTTAAAATTCCAGCTTTAAAAAAAATCAATTGCTCACATGTCCGTGTTATAATAAGGAGCACGATTGACAACCTCTTTCACACAAATATGAATCGGAAGTTTCGTTTAGATCAAGAGAGAGAAATGAAGAAAATTGGAATCTTATATAGTTATGTGACCAACCTTGAGAGTTTTGAATAAATAGCACCAATCTAAGACAAGACAGTCACGGATAACTGTTTGGTCTTTGTTATGTCCACTCTAGTATAAAAGGTCAACGTTTATAAGTCCACAAATACGAAATGGTTTTCACACCAAGTTGTGATTCCATAATATACTATTACCCCGGTCATTGGATTCAGTGCTTGCCCGCACACAATGTATTGGTATATACGTTGCATCATCTGAAGAAAGGAAATTGTGTAACAACCAATTTTGTATCAAACAAAAAAAAGTGCAACTACCTTCTAAGTATAAGTTTTGTAAGGTTTTTGAGTCTCGATATTTGTAAGTATATCTCACGCCTAAAATAATGACCGCCAAACTTGTTACGTCTGTATTCATTTCAAAATAAAGTGAAAACATATTGACAGGCCAAATGGGACCAGGTGAAAATGTCGATGGATGAAAAAATAATTGTACGATGTAGATCTATACCTCGACGATAACGAATAAGTTTGTTTGGTATCGTAGATAAAGACGATAAACTACAAATGATTAATTGACACAGATTACTTGTTGAATAGGAGTAAAATCGACCGATATCAATACTACAATAATAGAAAGTTTTCAATGCTAATATCATGAGAACCACCAAGTGACTTTCAGGTATTTAAAACCTTTAAACATCCAATGGATTATCCACTATTTTCTTCTTTAAAAGCTAAACAATAAGAATAAAAAGAGGGGGGGGGGGGGGTTATAGGCACAATAGTAAATGGGAGAATGGTTTTGGGATAATGAAAGGGGACACAAATATAATTTAAAAAGAACATTTACAACATAAAAACAGACAACAAATATACATATTGAAGAGATCTTGTAAAACTTACGTCATCATCTGCTCCTCGTCGCTCTCGTCGGACATCTTTGGCCTTTGCGGGTGGGCCTCGAATCTTTAAGAGAAGAGTCATCGCGGTGATGAAAAGGACGGCGATCGTCTTCATCTTCGCTGCCGTATCTCGAGAAAATCTTAATAATACAAAGATTTATACGTATGACGATGTCGGGGAAGCTGATTCAAGACAGTAGGTTGTCTGTTACTGAAGGTCGAGATTGATGTTGTCCCGTGTGGCGTCGCTATAGATCTTGAAGATTTGCAGGAAGGTAGTTCCTATCTTGTCTAGGTCTCGTCGAGTTCTGATGACTCTCTGGTCTAGACTCTTCCGATTTATATAATCCCGAGGAGCCGGCCGGCGTCCAGACCGAAACCAGGGAAACATTTTGCTCTGTTTTGGGGAAAAACACTGATACTTTTCTTTGTATTCTTAAATTAAACGATGATGCATCGCTACGTCTGCGAATAAACCAGTGAACCAAGACCAACTATCATTCTGGTACTCTATCCTGCTCTCATGAGGAAGAGGCGAGCTCGCTCCGCATCATCAGACGAGAAGAAAGGATTAAATCCAACCCTGATTTAAATAACAATATGCTAATTACATCGTCATAGACAGAGCGAAATCGGCTCCTTGAAAAGAGTGACGTTTTCTTTTGAATCGTCATGGATGCCCATATTTGGGTATTCGATCTTTGAAGACGGCACTGTGCTATAGAGGCTTTTTTTTATTTCGGCTAGGCCTTTCACGGGTGTGGATATGCCTGAATAATGCGGTGGTCACATCCCGCCGTACTTGCAAGTGCGTGCTGTCTACGTGCAAAAACGTGGGCAAAATGTGGGTATCCGTACGTGATGAGTACCGCCTCCGTACGGATTTGCGAGCACGCAGACACACCGTAGCACTTTTAGTGCACGAGGAACTTTCGCTGCGTTCGGGCTGCGTTCGGGCTACCGATTCGCCACAGTGCGTGTAACGCGCGTTGCCGGTACTCCCTCCCTGCCTTTGCCAATCCCTCTCTACGTTTTCAGAAAAACGTGGCGGCCGTGGCCTCACCAAAAACCGTACGGACTAAAAACACGCACGGTGGGATGTGACCAACGCTTTAAGTGGGCGGTAAATAATAGTATACTATCTAGGGATTTCTCGATTTCTTTTCATCGAGGGTTCTTAAGAAATTATCTCTACTATGTATTTTTCCTGGAAATAGAATTAAAGTCATTCTTATTCTTTCAAATATTTCTTTTTCAATCGTTGACATGTAGGCCTATAGTGTATTGTAATTGTTGTGTCTATTTTTGATTTGTTTGTTTACGAGTTGCGTGGAAACTTTTCTTTTTCTTCTTCAATCTTGGGATTATCTTTAATTGTATTTTACCTGAAAATAGAATTAAAGTAATTCTTATTCTTACAATTTTTATTTTTCAATCTTTGAAATGTAACCCCAAAACGCCCCTAAAATCCTGATTATTGATTCAATGCATGTATACTTTTTCATTTTAAGTTTTACCTTACTATTTTTTTTTAGGCCGCCATCCTAGTCAAGCATCGCTTATGATTGCGGTCTCCTGCACTTTTTCAACAGATAGTTTGGATAATACTTTAAATGTATAATAATATGTTATAGAAATATTAAATTTCGTCAAAAACATTTTGACATCAGTGAAGTTATTATTGTTTTTATATTTTGTATTATAACTAACGTTTATATGTTCTTTGTTATTCAGTTATTTTATTTGGAAAAATGCAGAAATCAAATCAAATCAAATCAAATCAAATATCTTTGTAAAAATGCATATTTCGGGGGCTCTGGAGGCTAATGCCGACGGCTATACTCGTATAGTCTCATATTTTTTAATAAAATGTCTTGTGTAACATAAAATGGTCAATTTTGTTGGTGTTGTATTGGTTTTATTATAACTACAATATTTTGGGACAGGCTCAGATCCACAGTCCTAGTCTCAAATGTTTCCCTATCGTGGTCCGTGAAATAAAGAAAGACAGAATGACCTGAATAAGTAAGTAGGCTACCCAGTGGTGGGGGTACAATTTCGCTTCCTATATAAATTATCCCAACATCAACTTCCTAGTTTCTACATTTTCCACGAGCGAGCGAAGAAAGCGAGCAAATTTTGTTTTATATTTTACTAAATTTAAAATGAAATTTTCTCATAAAATATGTTAGATGAGATGTATTAATTACAAACTAGACAACATCTAGGCCTATGTCCGAATATGACGTGCCAGTTGTCCAAAATGGCTGATTCGAAATTCTGGCTAGTACTCCTACACTGTAAATTCTTTGTGTAACGAATTTACGCAACATTGTGTGGTTCTCTCCTCACACAGGGGTTGCGTAAAGTTGTGTTTTAAAAAAATACACAACGAATTTGCAGTGTAGGGAAGATACCTTTTGGCGCGTAACGAATAATGACTGTACATTTTCATTGTGAGTGAGCACAGGATCATGTTTTTTTTTGGTTCAATCTTTATTTTCCTTTGCAGTGAAATGAGCAGACGAGTCAAACAATCCGAACAATAAGTGACATACATTCCCGGGTCTCTCTTCCAGACAGTCTTTATCTCTCTGAGAACATTTTCAAGTTCATTGTGATAGCTTCTCGTCTTTTATTGACAGTTTTAAATCCGATCCATTAAATTCTTTCAGTACGAGTATGTTTTTGTAAAGTCCCACTAGACACTACTCTATTAACAATGCAGGCGTTACAAATGTCGATGACGTCATTAAACCTCACCTTGTTGAAATATTTTCACCTCGAAAAAGAAGAAAAAAGACGTCAACAGACGTGATGACCAAGGTTGAAATTTAGGCCTGAGTTTAGGGGTGATGTCTCTGTCTATATTGTGTATTTTTCTTTCTTTGTGTACAGGGAATATTATTCAGTATGCAAGCCTTGTAATATTATAATTCCCGTTGTTTTGTAAGGGTCTCTTCAGTCACACACAGGGGCGGTGATCCCGGGGGACGGGGGACATGTCTCTCCTCAATTTGTTTAGGGGGGATCGCTCCCTCGGAAATTTGAAAAAGTCCCCCCTCAAAAATGTATAGCAAATACTGACTAAAGACTGCAGCACACTTTTAGGCTCTGGAGGGCCCAAGAATGCAGCGTTTAGACTAATACAATTGCAAAAATCTTTTCGCTCTGTCGCTACGCTCCCTCGCATAATATCCTTCAAAATATACAAGTAAATATTGTAGAAAATCTGTAAACAAAACTTTAAAAATTTGTAAGGGGGTAGTCACTTCCGTCACCTTAGACCCTCTCGCTCACTACGCTCCCTCGTCCCTCGCATTTCGTCCTCCCGGCCATGAAAGGAAATAGCCGCCCCTGGTCACACATACTGTACGAAGTATCTGGCTTTGGATCCCCTATATTTTGAGAAACAACATCGAACAATCGGTGACATCTCCGACTTCCACGTCTAATGGTGTGATCTTTTTTTTCCTTCTTCTCCATTTACTTAAGTTTCAATTATAAGGGGAAAACACTCTCTTCATAAGACTAGAACGTTAAGGTCCCATTAATTCTGTAGGAGAGTCACACCCCATGAACATTAATACGCTACAAGCAAAGTGCAGGGTGTAAACCCGGTGTTTAGTGTGCCTGCATACGAAATTGGTAATCTTTCTACGGATCTTCGTGATCGGCTGCATAGCCTTTTGAAGATTAGCAAAAGAAGACGTAGAAGACAAAATATTCTTCAGGGCTCGATATTCATGGGCCAGATCAATACAATTGACAAAGATTTTGTTTTACACTGTCCTTTATAATTATATTATTAAATTTGTATAGCGCACATAACCATTTGCCTATAATTGAATGGCACCCAAGGCGCACAACAATCAAGAAATTACACGGACAACATATGCATTAACATCAGATGCAATGATGAGATAGATTTAAAAACATTGAATACATAGTTACTGCTATCATTTCGTTACTATGGTTACAAACATAAATCAATTGTATATTTTGTCACGAGGAAAGTTTTCAGGTTTTTGTGGAAGACTGAAATTGATGCAATGGACTTGTGACTTGATGTATTAAGGGAATGTTGTCCAGAGGCGCGGGACAGGTTCGCAGAATGTCCAAGCCCGTACAAGCTTTTTTAAAGTGGGGGTTCTTAGGGTTACAACTTTGAGTCAGAGGTGAGAGTGAGACATTGCGAGAGAGCGACCAAGCGGGGGGCGGGGGGAGGGTTATAGAGCAAAATTTTGTTTTAATCACCACCCCCCCCCCCCAACTTCAGCAACAACAAAAAAAAAAAGCAAAAAAAAAAAATCCTTTTTCTTTTCTTAAGGGGGGGGGGGGGGGGTTCGCGCCCCGAACCCCCAAACCCCTAGTATGTACGGGCCTGAGGTCCCAAAGCTTGTCGAAGTTTATCGTTAATAGATTAACATATAATTTACAGATTAACTTTTTGTGGAAGTTGCTTTTAGGAATCGTCGATTATCAATAGCGATTTTATGTGAATCTCAGGCTCTGTAATGACTTAACAAACAACCAAATCTAATAACATTTTTTCACCGTGGGTAGCTAGTCAAAATGCATTTCAGTTCTGGACAGTAATACAATGTTCTGTCTCTTTTGGACGTCCTTTTTCATACTGTTACATGCACTTTGACGAATGTCAGAACAAAAGAGCGATAAATCTTCATCAAAAGAAACTAATTAAAAATGAACAAGTGTATAATATAAAATTGTTAGTTTATATTGCGGCTTAAATGTTACAATATGAATAAATCGCAGTGTTGGCTAAAAACCATTTCATGTTCCAGTACATTATTATTGTCTTTTAAAAATCTATAATGTGGTATTTAATATTAAAACATGATTAAATAAGATAGAGTATCGTTTCCGCCTGCTTAATACAAAAACACCACCAAGAAGAATAGAAAAGAAACGTTGCTATACCGTAAAAACAAATAGAAACCCAGTAAACAAATAGAAAGTATTGTCACACTTAGAGCTGTTTTTTTCTCTCAATACATACGTCACGGGGAGACACTTGAAAAGGTAGATATTTAGAGAGAGAGAGAGAGAGAGAGAGAGAGAGAGAGAGAGAGAGAGAGAGAGGTGGTCGTTTGTTGGAATAAAGGATGTCAATATACAGTATATATTTATACCCCCCCCCCCACAAAAATAGAAACTGTCGTTGTTATAGCTCCCCCTAATTCTGCTTTGTTAGTCGCTCTTATAGTTATTTCCGTCCACCCACCCTTCCTTTTCACTTTTCACTTTTCATTTTCTTCTTTTTCTTCTTCTGTTGAAGTAGGCCACCATGTTGTTGGTGTATCTTCGTACTTTGAAGTTGTAGATATATGTACAGTGCTGTGGAAGATCTAATCTATGTGCGGTTAAAAGAACAGGCCGCAATTCTAGCGCAACTGTGTTTTCTGCACCTCAGTCTTAAAGCTGGCTACTTCAACCTATATTAATTATTTTCATCTCTCTCTCTTTGCATATAAATACTTTATGGGGGCAAAGCAATGGGCTAATGGCATATTAGACCTCATGTCTCGTTAACTTAATCATTTTTTTCTGAAATCGGCTTACCGAGTAAATATGTGTAGTAGCCTATGCTGTTGCCCTCTCCTCCTTCCCCCCCCCCCCTCCCTTTCGTTTGACCCTTGCTTTTCTCTCACATCAGAACCTTTGATAAAAACTCGCTCGCACTGATTGTATTCCCCCTGTTTATTAGCACCTACGATCTGATGTCCACTAATTGAAACTCGAAGCATTAAAGGGACTATGTCCCATTTGCAGGCCCCAAAAATGAAAAAGTTAAATTCCAACTGCATTTGAAAGATAATACTAATTTAGAACTTCCCTAAAAAAGGTGGGGCTTGAAAATGTCTTCAAGTGGGAAAATAACGACTATTAGTTGTCAAATCGACTTTAGGGCTATAGAGCCCAAAAGTAATAGTCTTGATTTTCAGACAATTGTACCGAATGGTCATACGTTTTATGCTGCACAAATATTCAATTAGTTTAATCTTGGCCATCACAAGAAGTGGGTTATTGATGTAGACAAATACTCATGTACCCTTTACAACTCTTTTCATGTATGTTATTACCAAAGAAGAAAAAAAGCCAGTCAGTCACTCAATAGTGTCTGACAGTGAGGTCTAGCAAGTAAACGGTTTTCCTTGCATAATTTGAATATGAGGACACCGCTAACGTTTAAATTTCACAGATAGGACATACATGACATATTCATAATTCCTGCAAAGTTCCACAGCATTTGAGGTTGGCTGCAAAAGGGACATAGTACCTTTAAGCTATCCTCATTATGTCGGTATACTCGCAGCTTAATTACATTGCATACTTCCTGTAACTCTTGGCTCACTCTCTCTTTCCATCTTTTCTTCACTGCTTTACCCACCTCCTCTGGCCTCTGCCTACCTTTGGTCCTTTTCTACTCTCGCCCTCTATTGGCACCCTCGTCGTACAAAACTGATTTCTTGTAACCTGCCCAACTAAAGATGTTATGATTGTATTTTACCATTACTGTAATTGTCCAAGTTTATGATTATTTATTTTTTGTAAGTTGTAACTTTTACCAGTGAAAACGAATGGATAATTAATGCTTAATTTCAATTTTCAATGAATAATCAATAAGCCGATTTCTTGAAAGTCTGTGTGATCACGTTACATGTAAGTATGTAAAGTGTGTAGCAGAAAAGTGGTTACACCCTTATTGGTCCTAGGCTAAATTATGATGCAACGTTAGGGTTCAACTACACTGGCTTAACCTAACTCCAAACTTGAACAAGACACTAATACTACAGTGTATACCTGCCAGCCTTTGGCTGAGAAAATACAAATCTTTCAAAGCAAAATTAGGAAATGTGGTGTACTTTGTATGCTTATTCACATACATTTTAAGTAAGAGATATGAATCTAGGGTTCTACGTAGACCCTAAAAGTAAGAATTATTCCTCCAAAATGAGAACAGTTGGCAGCTTTGACACCACACATCAAGAATTCAATAAAAATATGCCAAAATATTGAAAATCACTTTGTTTATTCAAAACAAAAGGGCAAGAGAGTCAATTAATTTGTATTTACACAATAAAATGTTGACCAGAGCATAAGTATGAAAAATAAAATACGCAAAGTAGAACCATGCACTCATATGCACATACAAGTTCTCAAGCAGGTAAAATCTAATGCACACATGTACTAGTATGAAATACTTTCACAGAAAGAACAAATATTTGCTTGAAATACGAGTAAGCAACACACGAATTGAGAGAGGTTCAGAATATAAAATCAATTTAAAACAATCAAGATAACATCTATCATTTAATAAATAACATTTCATTGAGATGTACAAGTTTGTTTTGTTTTGTTTTGTTTTGTTTTGTTTTTTTTGTTTTTTTGGGGGGGACAATTACAGCTGTATCACAGGTAATTGTGATTTTCCGGTTTTCGCCTGCTTCCGTATCTGAATTATTACTGTATACTCTATGTTGAAATCATTGTTACATATATAATATATATATATATATATACATTGTGTTTCATATTGTAATGTTTAAAGGAAAAAAATGTTAATAAGTACAAAATAAATACAAACTTGTGAATTTGGAGTAATATGCAATGTATTTTCATAATTTCTATGAGGAAACTGCCTGTTCATTCACATTATTTATAGTAAAAGACAGCATAATTGCAATACAGATGAATAAATTCATGACCCTGTCCTCCGATTGAAAACAAAAAGAGATTCTATTTCATTTTTGAAGCAGCATTGCATAAATAAAAGGATTTCCCAGATTGTCGAGAATAGTTTTCAAAATATCTTTGGCACGGTTGATAGTTCACTGTGGTTGCGTGTTATTAGACTAAATGTCAGACATGTGGAACGTTTCTCTCCTGGGACTCATTTCACAAAGTCTTTTTTCAATGACAAATGACAAAAATCAGTGACAAACCTGCTGATAAGCAATCAGAAGCAAGGATTTCACTAGATTATTACAAAAACTGTCATTTGTCACTGATGACAAGTTCTGTGAAATGGGGCCCAGGGCTGTGAGACCATACCAAAACAAAAAATACATATTTTTTTTTTACTTTTTAGGGTACACATGCACTTTCTTGTAGTCCTGTTAACATGACATATTATAAAATAAAGTAAAAGTGATCAAGCACGCTGGGTAAATAAACCCAGTGAAGTAATGGAATTATGCAGTTCATATAAGGTACATTGCCCTGTCTTGCCATGAGCATGTATCATGCACATGCAATTAACATTCATCAAATGTTTACATTCACTCTCACCGGATGACATGTATGAATACAAAGGACATTTTAAAACACGTTTCACATTCAAAGGTTAACAGGAAGTGGCAGTAAAATCACATGTAGGTATACCTCAGATCTGCCAACCTCTGGAATTCAAAAACTGTATTCTTTAATCCGAAAAGTTGTATTTTACAGAAAAAAACACGGACTGATACACGGATCAAGAGCTACCAACCCCAACTGAAAAAAAATCCTATTTTTTTCCCCCCAAATCCTGTTTTTGATTGATCAAAGCTCTTAAATACAGAAAAAACATTTTGTATGGATCATTGTTTAATTATGCATGGTTTTGTACCAAGGAACATCCCCCAAATTGCCGATGTGAGATGCTTGTAGGATACTTTACAGGAGAGAATGGGCAATTAACCATTGAAAATGGCACACACACAAAATTGTTATTAAAAAAAAAATTGTACTGTTGTATTTACTTCCAAAATCGTACTGATTGGCAGCTCTGATGCCCTCAAGGGCTAATGACAACATGCAGTTCATTACTTCATTGACCTACTTCATTGATTGCACTTTTGATTCTTTGGCAGAAAATATCACTGGTATTGAATGCGTTGACACAAGTGAAACATATTGTATAGATTTCTAATAATAGATAAAACAATGCAATTAGCTTAAAGGGATCCGGTAACTTTGTCTCAGATTCTGAAATAAAATTCTGGATTTAGCTCATGATCCAATGATAATTATAAACCTTTAGGTCAGTCAGGAACCCCATGACTTTTACAAGCCGATCGCCTGTCTGATTATCAAGATATTTATGATTGGAATTACAAATTTTGAAAACCGTTCGCCTGACTGTTTTCATAACACTACAGTCTATTTGGAAAAACGAGTATGGTAAAACCGGTCACTCAAAGATTTTTACTTTTTTGAGGCACTTCTTGATCATTTTGAAGCGCATTTTTTTTAGGGCTTCAATATTACACCATATCACAGACACTGATAACACGTAGGGCCGTGTATCTCAGATTTAACATTGTTAAACGATCCCTTTAAGATTTGCACTATGTACACATAAATAATGTGGTCAAAGGTTGATGAATTTGAGGTAACAAACTGACATTTTCTTATATTTTTATTATTTTATTTTTCTATATTAGTTTAACCTTCATGATGAACAAACTGCTCTAAGAACAATGACAGACAATATAGCTTTTCAAGAGGAAGTCTTGTTCTGGGAAAGGTGAACAAACCATTTGTGAATTTTTCCATTCTGTTTACAATGTTAGTGTGGAAGGGTATCATAGAAAGAAAAAAAGGCCTCTAAAAAGGATGGTTCTCCAAATGCCCTTATATTCAAAATATGAACAGTAACTGCTAAAGATTGAGGATCACAACTCTCATGCCACATGTATGTGTGGTCCCATGTACATATTTCTGTGTACAGTACATATGACCTTTAGCAAATCTGGGCCAATTTCCTATCGTTTTGACGATTAAAAAATCTCACAGTATTCATCAATACTTGGCCGTTCATTAAACAGCCTTTGGATTGATCGTAATGTTAATATTGAGCGTAAATCTATGGCTCATAGTATATTGATCAAACTTGAGATCATTCATAACTCTATATAATACGTGGCCCTTATCTGCTGCATGACCAGCATTTTCCAATTGCTTCCACACAGATTCTTCCACAATGCATTCGCATGACCAGAACTCAACTTCATCTGTAAATGTTATCTTTGTTATCTTGATCATTGAAAATAAAGATGCACAAACACACAATAATGCCTACAAAAAAATAGCTAGGGAGATTTCAATTATTAAGTGGAGATTGAATTTTGATGAGACCGCTTACATGAAAGACCAGGGATTCACCTCCAACATTTTTCCTTCTTTACTAAAAGTACCAACTTATTTATGTTAAGTAATTATGATAAAACTTAGTACTGTTTCTCTGTTACAATGTTTCTTTTAATCAGTAATGAAGTAATAAAACTTCACTTTAAAAAAAACTAATTTAAAGTTTTTTCTATGCATTACAATTAATCTTCGGTATATCTAGGACCCAAATTTTGAAGAAATTATTCCCGCCTTTTTTCATAACTTGAAGAACTGCATAGTAATACAATGTGGTAAGCAATGAATAAACAAGGTTCTAGCATTTATGTGTAGGTAATTTGCTGCTCCTGACTTCATCACAGACAGTGAATGCACCTACGACTTATATTGTCATTTTTTAGGTATTCCCATCAAAGTCATGATAGAGAGAGAGAGAGAGAGAGAGTGAGAGAGGGAGAGGGGAAGAGAGAGGGAGAGGGGAAGAGAGAGGGAGAGAGATTGTCACGTAATATTAATGGCACAATTAATTGCAGCATGCATTACAGATATGACACAAACCTTGATAAATACATTAATATATATTCCATTTCAATGATCAGATTGAGTAAATCATCAAATAGACGTGAACATTCTATAATATGATCCGAGAGATTGAACCTGGCTCCTAGCAGCCTACTGATAGCCTATCCATGAGAGCTCATCGTAAAAGCATGAGAGATCTCCTTCTGTTTGCCCGCACCATGCTCTCCTCATCCTCCAGGTTGGTGATTGGAACCTCAGGAGGGGGAATGATCTTATCCCCTTCTTGAGAATCATTGTCCTTCTCATCCTCCTCCTCCTCCTCCTCATTGCCCGGTAACCCACTGAGGTCCAGGAGAGGAACGGTCGGTGCAGATGACGACTCAGCCTGCCTTTCATCGGCTGTTGCAAGCTCTTGGTAACCCTCCTTCTGAGGGCTCCGTGAAGCCTTTGAGTCGGTGACATCCTCACCCTGTTGCGCCTTCCATCCGCTATCGCTACCCCCTTTCTTGGAGTCGGCGCCCGATTTCTTCTTTTTCAACTTCAATTTCAGTTTCGATTTCTTTTTCTTCTCAACAGATGGTGCTTCAGGAGCAATGTCTGCCGGTTTGCTTCCGATTCTTGAGGGGCTATGCTGGGTGGGTGGGAACGAAGCGGAGAGGTCACTCACCTCCTGCAGCTTCTTCAGAGAGCTCACATTCTCTGATGTCGCTAGTTCATGGAGGGATTCAGCAGATGAGGAGTGGTAGTCTAGGGCAGGGGGAGGAGGATCCATGCTGATCTGTCTGGTGAGTGGGGGGAGAGCTGCCCTACTCAAGGGGACAGGTGGGACTATACTCCTGGCACTGATGGGCATCAGTTCATTCACACTGTTTGAGGCTGAGATGGAATGAAAAGAACAATCCATTAATACCATAATACTCATTAAAATGATTACAATCAGGGCTTGACACTAACAGGCTCCTGGGACACAACAAAACGCAGATCCAAACTCCCAGAATGTCAGAATTTGTTTACATAGGGTTGATAGGGCTAATGCATAAAGACTCTAAAATGTTAAATTCTGACCCCTTCCAAAACTGTTAGTGTGGACCCCTGACACAATAATTATCATTCACTTGGCATTTACATAGCAATAAGCATACAATGGGTGTGAAATGAAAAATATATAGGAATATTTAACAAACTGAATGAAATAACATAGCATGCTTTAGTAATGAGATATATTGAGTAATGTGTTATCACTCAGTTGTTTTAATTGGCACAAATGAAATAGTAGATCAATATCAAGACAATTTAAGGAAAATATGGGCAATCAATGGAATAAGCTACGATCTAAAAGAAATATAACATCAGTTTCCATGTTTGTGCCTCTTAGGTTTCCAAAGACGACAGTACATTGATGTACATGTATGTTTGTGTTTTAAAATAAAAAGTATTCCATCATGACTTACTTTATTAAACATTAAACATGGTTTGCTTCTACCCTACCCTAGCACTTGACAAAGCTTTGTCTAGAAAGGAAGGGGAATCACAGGTCATTTCCCATCTAGGTAAGACAATCCACTCAGCACTCATGGAACTAAACTCAACAACACACTTGACCCCTTCTAATTAGGATCTCACAAGTTACATCCTGCTATTAAAGACATGGTCATAGTAGAGGAGTCACGGTCTAGTGGACACGTCACTGGACTGAATTACATGATTTGCGGTTTGAGTCCCGCTGCAACACTAATGTCATTTAGCAAGATAGAAATCTACATTTGCTACTCTCCACCCAGGTGTAGTAATAGGGTGCCAGGTAGGAAGAAATTTCCTGAACAGCTTAAAAAAAACTTTCTTCCAAACAAACATGTACATGTATCATGAGGACCAATACCAATCACTTTAAAAATTTTAAAGTTAGGTATTACTATGGTTATATTACTGTGATCTCTCTATGATTGTGGAATCTGTATGGAAGTTTCCAAGTCACTTACTATGCAGAGGAAAGGGCATGGGCATGGCTCCACCTCCACCCTGCACCATCGGTATACTGAAGCGCCGCACTATGTGCTGCTCTATGTACGTCTCGGGTTGCATCATCCCCGCCCCCATGTTCCCCCCCAGCCCTCCATGAGGGTACATCCATGTCTCCTCTGTGTATGGCAGGGGGGAAGGCAGGGGTTGTGGTTGGGTGGAGTCCCCCGAGGCCTGGTATGGGTTGTAGGTGGGATGGTGGTGCCGCTGGGGCTGGGGTAGGGATGCGGGCGGGGGTGGCAGGGCTCTGGGTGTCAGCCTCTTCCTCTTCTTTTTCTGCAAGGAACGCAAAAAGAAGGCATCTAGATGACTTTTTAAATTCAATATGGGACAGACTGTGCACACATCATCAAATAATTCCCCTTGTGTGACCTTCAAGGTTTTACTTATCCAGCTAGAATTTTTTTGGGGGCAAATCTTTTCTGTGAATGTGGCCTCCCCTGTAAACTTGGAACTAATAAAACCTCATGGCAATCATTATTGAGGAATCAGCTGAGAACAAAGCACTTAGCTGTGGCACAGCCTGAAATTGAGAGCCAATAGGTCGTATGATAAACTAGTTTGCTGGCATCATTTATACACTATTTAGAAGAATTTAAGGATGTTATATCATGATGAGTTTAATGAGCTCTACAAGAATGGAATATCTATCATTATTATACCACTTGAATGTGAACAGCAACCATGCAACATTATTTACCTTTGTTTTGCTTGAGGTAGATCTACCGCTCTTAGGTTCCTTGACTTTGCCCTCTTGATGAACCACAACAGTGGTCTCTCTAGATATTTCTACAATTGCATTCCTTTGATTGTTGGTTCCTTGTGTAGTCTCCGTAGCTTGATCTGAATTATGTCTGCTTGGCGATTGATAAAAACACCAGAACAATGGTCAATTGTAAAATTTATTATTTTCATTTTATTTTAAAACAGACACACTTGGTTCAGCCAATGGCTGTTCCTCTGCAAGTCTGTACATGTACATCGTCTTTAGTTTCTGGTAGTACACACAAAATAATTTTTCTCTGAATCACACAAAATTTGCAATGAATATTCATGACTGCCAGTGCCAATGAATGACAGGTGCCACACCCTTTAGTAATATTAATAAAAATTCAAGTGGTTTTGTATAGATCATAATACAAAGGCATAATTGCCTATATATCTCTATGCACTTAAGTAGTATGTAGAGCTGAGTAGTGAGCAAATTAGGATAAGTAAATTAAATTTGTGGTCCTAAACCTTGTGCAAATCATGCAGTCACTGTTTGGAAATGAGAGCTTTTGCTCAGTGTTTGTCCAAATTATGCTTTTTAATGAATATTATTTCCTGATAGTTTTTTTTTCTTCTTTTTTTCCTGATGTTTCTATCCCTTTTTGTTGTTGGTAGTGGTTCTATTGGCAGAACTCAAGATTAACTATGGAAGTATTATTCAGTAGAGTTTAAATGATAACAAACCTAAGCTATAAGCATAATGACACTATTAAAAAGCAGTTTTCTATATATACTTTGATCAACAAACTGACACACCATCTCTACGCGTAAAAATGACTGTAAAATTGCATTGAAAGGTTTCTTCATTCTAAAAACAATATGGAAAGTAATATTACGCCAATGTGAACAGAAAGAGAAAAGAAATTTCAAGTCTGTACCTAATTTATATAGAGTTGATTGATAGATGATTGGAGGGATATGAGTTAGTTGGTTGGAGCCCTACTACCAGGGCTAGTGTTAGGCTGATCTGAAGATTGGGTCTCGTTAGTAACACAATAATTGGTGCTAGCAGTGCTGTAAAACATGAAAGAAACAGTGCAAGACATGCAGAAAATAGGACAGATAGTGAAGAAGTGGTGAAAGAAAGTTGTAGAGTATAAGAACAGAAAGAAAGTATAATTCTTTATAAAAGAAACTTACAAGCTTGCCACAATTAATAAATTTTCAGAACAATTAAACATAGAGTAAAGCGTGCATAGAAAATACACATGTGCACACATACAAAGGATTAATTGTGATTAAAATAACATATTTTTGCTTATACAACTATAATGGTATCATAAAACAAGCATAAAATTGAAAGGATCATTTTATAGAGGGACCAATAACACTGAAATGCTTTGTTAAATTCAGTTTGATTTGTGATTGTGCATGGTGCTATCTGGTGCAAGCTATTAATATTTGTATTCTGCTCAGCTCTGCAATGCAGTCATAAAATGTAACTATGGTTATACTGCTCACAATATAAAGTTCAATGGGTGGATGTGTAAAAAAAGAAGAACAAAAGAAGAGAGGAGCAATATTTGTCTGTTATTTAAAACAATGTGATGAGAAAATTTGCAAGCCCGGAATGACTTATCAGACTATTTACATGTATATGGATGAGATTAGGAAACGAATATGGGTGATATGTTCAGATATAAATATATATATATATATATATATAGGTATTGATATTCATAAAATGGAAGCAGTAAGTTAGGTAGACATATGGACAGATGGTATGACAGATGATGAGACTCATGATATTACATGTGCCATTAAAGCCTGCCGAATCGCACATGGATATTATTCAGTGCTTGCATCATTATGACCACACCACAATAACATGCACATGCAACTCAGCAGGCCTTCAAGAATAAAAGAAAGTCAAAGATCGAATATGTAAGTCATGCTACCAAAAAAACAAAAGAGTAGTTTTGTGACATAAACAAGGACTATGGAAAAATTGTTGATAGTAATCTTACCTCCTTGTATTTCGCATTTCTATATCTTCATTGCCTCCTTCTGTTGGTGCAACTCTACCAGTCTAGAAAAGAGAAAAGAAAATTTTTAGACTAGGATAATAAATAACTAATAATTTATGTAATTTAGAAAGAGGCGAGATGATTTAATACAAGAAACGTGGAGTATATAACTATTTGAGTATGTGTTGTGATATTTTCTTTTCATTCTGTACCCCAAATTCCAAAGGCTTAACAAAGATACTTTATCCTCAATAAAGCATGGAAAGTGTACAATATTTTGCTCCTGAGTATCTCAAATCTCAGTTATAAGTGAATTTATACAAGAGGGTCACCAAGAAAGAACAGAATCTGATTACTAAAATACACATTCATGAGCCTCTGTCGATTTATTTTGTTTATGCTCAAACAATTCTATAATGATCTCTATTCAATATGAATAAATGCATACCTGAAAACACTTATGGGTAGTCCGAACGACTGAAACACATCAGCATTTCTGACCAAAATGTAAATGTGCAAACGGGCAAATTTCTGGACCACTAAAATACATCCATTCATAAAGAAAAATATTATTTATTTAAAAAAAGTACATGGTTTTAACCAGTGCTGAGAATGTCTTTTGTCAAATTGAATAATAATAATAATAATAATGGGTTCTTGTATAGTGCTCATGTCAGTCAGATTTGACCGTCCTGGTGCTCCCGATTATTACCCTGGCTTTAGCACGGCTGCCATATGGCGCTCTAGCATTTCAAGGAATAAATTCCTAACAAGTGTGTATTTTACATAATTTAAATGATTCGCATTTAAAATTGTTGAAACAAAATAAATGGATATCTTACCCTTTTATGTGAGCAGCATCCTTTGCCTTCCCTTGCTGGAGGTTCAGGTCTAGAGGATTCCTCCTCCTCCTCCTCCTCTTCAGCCCGCTGCTTCATGATGTAGTCATAAGTACCCAGGCCTTGAGACACTGTACGTAGGTAGGCAACCACAAAATGAGAGCAAAAAGAACTCAGTTGCATTATATTGAAAGATTTATTATTGATGCTGTATTCTAAAAAAAGTATATATGCCATTAAGTAAGTCTGGGAAAAAATGGTATTAATCCATTTGACCTTTATGTTTCTCCTTCTGAATCTTGAACATTAGTAAGACATATTAAGCTGGATATTGAATCTAATAAAGAATTACTTTGCAAATCTTTGGATGTATTATGGTACATTATATTATTTACTTTGTGCACTACGTGAAAAAAAAAGTTTTTCTGCTGTATATAATTTTCCTTTTTTTGCTACACTGCATTGTAAATTGATAAATATGATATACATGTATAATGTATGTTTACACACAGAATATTGATTTGTTACATTGCATTGTTGATTAATTTGTATGATGTATATATTTATAAACAGATTATTGATGTACATCAATGAAGTTTAAAAAAATACAATACAATACATGTATCTGCAGTTTCTATATCTACCATATTCAATGACAAAGAAAATAGATGTATTTATGTTGAGAAAAAAAGGAACAGGAAAAAAGTCAGAAGTATTTCCAGAAGATCAATCAGTTCATTTATCACTATCTAAATTTCTGAATCTTAGACTTACTGAGATACAAATGGAAGCCCAGGAGGTGACCTAGAAGAATGAGGCTGATTAAGAGTAGGATCGCAAGAACAATCATCACAGCGAAGAACGCTTGCCCCGACACCGGTCCAAAGATCTTGAGATTCTGGTGAAAGTCGCAGACAGGAGTGGCTTGTGAGGTGACAGCAGACTCATTGGCTGCAGTCATGTCGGGAGGAGTTGCTGTGGATATCTGGCAAGAAAAAGGTTCCCCATCTCTGTAAGCTGTAATAAGGAAGATTGAAATAGTATTCATCATCAAAGACAAATCACAATGGTGAATGTTCTTTTTTAATAACATTGAAAAACTAATTTCCCATTTTCAAGGTAAAATGTATTACCTTTTTATTCTATAGGAAGACAGATTCCAAGAAATTTTAGATAATGAATACCCGATAAGGCTACTTTATTACTCTTGCAATGTCTACAAAAACATGTATGGTGGTTTGGTTCAGCATTCTTAAAAATTTTACATGTGCAATATGTAGAGCACATACATAGTATACTATAATTTGATAAGAAAAATAGATTGAGGTTTCAATGGCAGTTTCATGCACAATAGCCTTAATATATTAAGCATTGGACAGGAACATTTATCAAAATTTTAGAGAAGCAAACTTTCTTTGACATGACCATGAAAGAGTTAAGACGTTTTATAAAAGAATGACAAAGATACTACTATAAATTGGAATCACCTAAGACATGTTCATAATTTTTCATAACTTCATTTGACAAATGAAATAACAATATCACATGCGTTAACCTTTTAATTCATTTGGGTGCAGCAGCACTGGGTTGACCTGATATACGATGGCTATATACAACGCGACCATACATACTAAGAGACAACAGACGAATGCTGTCACCAAACAGCCTATAAACAATCTGCATTAAAAAAACAAAGGGAGAAAATTGATGTCATTACAAAGAATTAAAAACAAAATCATTTATCATTGTGCAGAATAACAACTGCCTGTTGAAATCTAGAAAGGCATGTGTAAAAGTATAAAGTTGATGCGCATCTGTATTAAAATAACATAACATTGATAATGATGTCTTGGTAATTGATATGACCAATGAAGTTTTGTACGAGAGCCCTACTTCATTAATAAAGTGAAAATATGAACAGAGAAGACATTCAAAGAAAATGTTCATTTATACATATTTAGAAAACACTGTGCACTTTTATGACACGAAAATGACAAAACTCAGATTAATTTCTGTAGATTATTAGGTATCTTACCTATAATTCCTAGAACCTATGCAACTATTCAGCCACTTGCAATGGTGGTCAAATCCAATGACACATTTGTTACAAGCACTGCAATGTTTCGATGATTTATCTCTGAAAATGGGGAAAGAAAAAAAGAAAGAACTTAACATAAATGTCTAGCAACAACACAAAACAGGAAAGAAATACTTCTTCAGCACAAAAGGCATCAACATCACATATTTTACCCCCCCCCCCCAAAAAAAATATATATATATTCAAAATATTTGACCAATGACATATGGTCAGTATGTTGTACATGTAGCTATAGGTACATGTATATCCTTTGTGAATAGGTAAGATTAAACATAAACTACGATTGCAGCATGAAGGCTTTGAAGCTTGATGATATTGCCTATGTATATGTGTTCTTGCCATTTCCATCTTCTCTACTTTTATTACATTTTTATGTAATTTCAATGTTTTTGCAAAAGGTATATATCTGTGATACATTATTTATCAATACCCTTTTCCCTGTACTTTTCCCCGACATGTGCGACGCTATACACTTACACATTAACTTCACACAGATAACAGTGGTTGTTCTCTATAACATGTGCATGCAGCTGGCGGTTGAACACAGGCATCTCTCTCTCTTCCCTCCGTTTTAAAGTATTGGGGTCAGCGGGGTTGATTGTGAGACAGGTTACATGAGAGATCACATGACACAACACAAAAATGCCCACAATCTGGGTTCAAATGGAAGAAACTGGTCAAGGAAAGATGCAATTTGTAAGGCTACGGTAAATATATCTGTAAAGCGCTTAGAGATGTTTGAGGTGTATTAAGCGCTATATAAAAGCTGAATATTGAATATTATTATTAAATCTTTGATGTACATGTAGGACATACCTAATCAGCTTGAGGAATGCAGTGATGCACAGTATTGAATGATCACGCTTCTGCCTCTAACTCAAAAGCGGTGGCATATACATGTAACACAAAACCCTATGAAGAAATCCTTGTCAAACAATTCTTTAACCTGTGCATTTGATGCCATTGGTGAACTTTGTACTTGAGTGGTGAAGTCAGTTAAAGTGGAACATACAGAGAATAATTTATGCATGAACGATTGACCACAACTTTTAAAATTTGACGTCCTTGTTATGAAAATAACATGACTTTGGATGGGGCGAAAAGCCTCACAAAGATGCAGAAGTGTGATCATCCTTCAATACTGTGCTTTGCTCAAGCTGCCAGTAGATATTTACAATTTGTTTTCTAAATGTTGGATTGTAAGATCAATTCATGCCAAAAAACAATTTTTTTAAATTTTTTTTATTATTCATTAAATTAACATGATCCAGCATAGAATATACTAGCAGTGTGATTGTGATTACTTTAGTAGCAATCCTGTTGCTGACGAGTTCAGATCGAGATGGGTACATCCATACGGTTTCCTTCTTTTCCCTTTTTTTTGGGGGGGGGGGGGTGGGGAGGGAGGAGGAAGGGGGTGCCTTATTTGAATATATGTATTGAGTAAATCTCTAAAAAATATGGGAAAACGTTGAACACAAATATCTCTACAGCAGAAACACCAATGCCTAAGAGCCTCGGTTTCTCCATTTTCCATTGCTCAATACTTACTAACTGGAAATACAGTAACAAAATAAAATGACACAACTTATTTGAAATCTATCTATTGATACAGGAATACTTTGCACATCTCATTGGATGGCTAACAAGGTCTCATTCTATGCAAAGGATACAATATAACCAGCTGGCTGCCATTCATAGGGAAGTACTGGAACCATGACACCAAAGTAGAAGACGTTGAAAACCAGGAGAAAGAACCAGGCCACAATTTGAAGAACATGAAGAGGGCAGCTCCAACCGTTTCTTCGGGGTGATCGTCGGTACGGGGTTAGGGGCACCGGCTTTCCATCTCCACTGCCACCTTTATCCTTAGTGGTACCATTGGGAACTCCTGATCCATCTGCGGCTGTTTTTCCATCTTTTTTGCCTTTGGATTTCATCATTTAAATATTCCTGTTCCTGTTGGTAATGAAAAAGCCAGACAAATGTCAAGGAGAGAACGAAGAAAAAAAAAAGAAGAAAGATACAGAGAAAAAAAAGAGCTCATCTGAAACATTATAGATCTTAATTTTGCTCAGATTTGGAGGGGGAGGGGTGTCAGTACATTTGCTACCGAGAACATTTGCTATTCATAAAATTGTTGATGTACCTTTGAATTATACAGACAGTATTATATTTAACCGACTTGTCTGCACAAACGTGGAAACAAAAATACATGCAGTGAACATGAAAATAGCCTACCGTTTTCACTTTTGCAAATTTGATACCCAATTTATGATAATAGCGATTTGTGTAATAGAGATGCACGGCCCACGGGCTGAGATTTCGCTCAATTCAGCAAAATCCATGAGTCCATGACTTGAGTGCACCTTGCTCTTACTTAGAATACAGGGCAGCATTTCATAAAATCGTCACAAGTACAAGTACAACGACATCCCATTGAAAAGTGTTTTGAAGTATATGGATGTCGGTGAACTTGTACTTATGACGGTTTTGAGAGAAGGCGCCCTGGGGCCCGTTCCTAGAAACCGTCATAAGTCCAACTTCTTGACTATCCTACTGAAACGTGTGTTATAGAATTAATACCCGTTTCAATGGGATAGTCAAGAAGTTAGACTTATGAAGGTTTCTACTAGAATGGGCCCCTGTAATACCTGTATACTATTAGTATTTCTAAACTAATTGCAATTATAACAGTAGGGCCTAAGAATGAAGACCGTCCGCATAAACAAGAATATCCAAGTATACGCGGACAAATCGCGTCCTAAAAAAATAAGGATTGTCCGCATTTTTGCAGACATTTTTTTGTCTTCGGCGCTCTTTGGGTGTAGGGTTCCCGATCCACACGCTGGAAATGCAAAAAACAGAATCTGTGTATTAAAATACCCCCAGTTCACCATCTAATTTTATGGGTTGTCCATCTTTCCGAGGATTTATCGCTCACACGTGAAAGTCTCTGAGCAATAACAAAGTTAATGTCAGACCTAACGTTAGGCCTATGTGAAAACTGAAATGCATTGAGAAAATCATCGCAGAATCCATTTTTCGCATCGCCAATATGGATTTTGTGCATGCGGTGTAGCTCAATGCGGAAGTGTTAAACTCTGTACACTGGGCATGGGAAGCAAACCGTTAGATTATAATCAACATCTCAAGACTCAACCTGGTCCTGATCCTGGTTGTTCAACACTGCACTGCACTGCACTGCAAGTGCCTCAGCCTCATCTCAGCTTCACTCACTCAGCTCAGCTCAGAATCGAATTTTACTCAGTCTCACTCATGTCTAGCAGCACATTCATTCACAAAATACATATAATTTAGGACCATAGTTTTCCGTTTGCTATATTCACCTCCCAATCATGTCATCAATCATCACTGACGATAATTCCTATTCAACCTCCATTTTCTAATCAATTATCTAAAAACTCTGCTCTGCCTCCTAAATTAAAAAAACTCCATTGCCATTAGTATTACACACGAACAAACACTTTACTCAATTTCAGAAGAGAAGTACACACTGTGCACGAGTAATAAAATAACAATAAACGTTAACCTCATGTATTCTTTAAATTAGGTGAAAAGCGTTTAAAGATCAAATTAAAATTATGAACAATTACCTGAAAACAAGGTCATTTAATGATAATTATCTAGTTTTTTGGAAAAATAGGAATGTCGCGGATGAATTTATTAGCTTTCGCATAATGTTGTTATGGCAGCTCAATGAATAATCAAGCTTGTCTGCTATTTCAAACCTTCTTTGATTTATAAATAAAAAATAAAACATAAAATCAATAATAGAAGGAAAAAAAATCTAACAAAATTCAACAAATTACATCAAAAAGATAATTTCACTTATCAGAGATGAATGAACATTTATATTTTAATATTATAAAGACGTAATTTTAGGACAGATTTCATGATGCTTCTACGTAAGGTCCGTAAGATAAAACTACAATGAATTTTACCGTCCTTGTTGTCCCTCCAACTAACATTTGAACGGCACCCCTTTAAAAAAAAAAGTGTACAGTACCATACCAGGAAAAGATCGTGAGTAGAGTATGAGGCGGCCAAACAAGTTTTTAATTCAGGATTTTAACATTCTCGTGTCTTGGTTATAAACTTTTAATTGTTTTTTTCCGTGCAGTACGCCGTAAAGATAGCATCTTTTAAAATGGAATGCAGAAAGGTGCATATCTTGCCCACAGGAGATATTCCTGCAGCGGTTTGTTCTTTTGTAGCAGAAAGCAGCCGCAGTGCCATCGCAGCTCGAGGGGCTTTCTACCTGGGAGTTTCGGGAGGAAGTGTGGCCAAGTTCTTGGGTGACGGACTTCCTGAAATTAGTGACCTGCAGTGGGATAAATGGCACATTTATTTCTGCGATGAGCGACTCGTTGAATTTGACCATGCAGATAGCACTTACAAAATATACAAGGTAAGAAGGGTTATCGTATGGGCCATGACCAAGGCTAAGCCTAAACACAAGGCCCAAGCAAGGGGAGAGGGGCCTGCATTCATTCATTCATTCATTATTACAGCAGCTCCGCCATCCACCAACTTGGTAAATGACAGTGCAGTACATGGCCCGCGCTCATCCCCTCGGCCTCCTAATGTGTGTGTGTGTGTGTGTGTATGTGTGTGTGTGAGAGAGAGAGAGAAGCTACATTGTAGGGGGGGGGGGTAGAAGTATATTAAAAGGAAAGACTGCAGCCCCCCTCCCATTGGACACTTGCAATTCTGTTGGAAGGTAATTTGGCCTTAGTCTTTGGACAAAATGTACATTTGTTTTTTAGGGGGAGGCTCCCTCAACTCAGCACACATCCTGCCCTTCCCCGCCCCGGCCCCTAGAGCCGAGATGAGAGAAGAACGTGTAATTTGGTTGCAAATTGTTCAGTGGTCATTCCTTTTTCTTCTCCATCCTGTACTTCTCTGTTGAAGTGCACAAGGGGATCTGATTTTTTCACCTCCTCTTGGCCAAAACTTAATAATATCAGTACTGATATGTGCCCTCATATGAACAAATTTCGGGCATCTGCTCACGCGGTCTCGCTCCGCGGTCTCGCTCCGCGGTCTACAACACGTGAAATCTTCTTTGAAAATGCGCTAAGTGTGCAAAGAAATGCTCCTACAAGGAAAACAAACTTTGATTACACACCATCTCGGGTGGAAATCACATATTCAAATACTGTTCTTTCCACTGATACCAATTTCGAACTGATTTGTATACTGGAAAATAGGGCCTTTTCGTCTTCAAAAATAGACAACAATCATTCAATTTGTGATTTCTCTATGGAGGTCACAGGAAAATTCGCCTTTTTCACTGGGGTTGTGTACTTCAAGGAGATAATGCTTGTAATTATTACTTGTTATTGGTTGGTCTCAGACGCCAAAACATAGGGTATTTAATCCCCTGCCGTCTGATGTAACACATAATTTGATTGGTTGTCGAGAAATTAGGGCCAATTTCAATCTAATAAAAAGAAGCTTTCTTAAATTTACGCATCGACCTCCGTAATTTATGCATTGTGCATAAGCGAAGTTTTACACAGCGGACAATGAGGCTTAGGGTGCGTTCAATCGAATTTTCGAAGCTAGAATCACAAACATGAATCACAAATCAAAACGCCGTTACAAAAAACAAGGTCACTGCGGTTAGCGTTCAAGCGATTTTTCTTCAACGCTGATTCTAGCTCATTTCGAGCCCAGCCACTGCGGATCACACTCGCAGCTTGACCCAGGAAGTATAGGTCAACTTCGGCGCGCGCTTTTTGGAATTGTTTACGGCCGACTGTCGACTGCTGTTTTGAGCATAGATCGCAATAATAAAACAAAGAATGAGAAGGTGATGGAAGGAAGAAACAAAAAATAACATAAGGAAAGACAGAAAGAGAAAGTGATAGAATGCTTAAAACAAAGAATTACATTAAAAAAGCTGATAGAAGGAAAAGAACAAAGATTAACATAAGGAAAGACAGAAAGAGAAAGTGATAGAATGCTTAAAACAAAGAATTACATTAAAAAAGCTGATAGAAGGAAAAGAACAAAGATTAACATAAGGAAAGACAGAAAGAGAAAGTGATAGAATGCTTAAAACAAAGAATTACATTAAAAAAGCTGATAAAAGGAAAAAAACAAAGATTAACATAAGAATAGAAGGAAGAAACAAAGAATAACAAAAGAGAAAGTGATAGAATTATAAAAACAAAGAATAACATAAGAGAAGGTGATAGAAGGAAGAAACAAAGAATAACATAAGGAAAGACAGAAAGAGAAAGTGATAGAATGATTAAAACAAAGAATAACATAAGAGAAAGTGATAGAATTATAAAAACAAAGATAACATAAGAGAAGGTGATAGAAGGAAGGAACAAAGAATAACATAAGGAAAGACAGAAAGAGAAAGTGATAGAATGATTAAAACAAAGAATAACATAAGAATCTGTGATAGAAGGAAAAGGACAAAGATTAACATAAGAATAGAAGGAAGAAACAAAGAATAACATAAGGAAAGACAGAAAGAGAAAGTGATAGAATTAAAAAAATAAATAATAACATAAGAGAAGGTGATAGAAGGAAAAAAACAAAGAATAACATAAGAATAGAAGGTAGAAACAAAGAATAACATAAGGAAAGACAGAAAGAGAAAGTGATAGAATGCTTAAAACAAAGAATTACATTAAAAAAGCTGATAGAAGGAAAAAAACAAAGATTAACATAAGAATAGAAGGAAGAAACAAAGAATAACAAAAGAGAAAGTGATAGAATTATAAAAACAAAGAATAACATAAGAGAAGGTGATAGAAGGAAGAAACAAAGAATAACATAAGAGACTGTGAGTGAAGGTAAAAAACAAAGAATAACATAAGAGAAGGTGATAGAAGGAAGAAACAAAGAATAACATAAGGAAAGACAGAAAGAGAAAGTGATAGAATGATTAAAACAAAGAATAACATAAGAAACTGTGATAGAAGGAAAAGAACAAAGATTAACATAAGAATAGAAGGAAGAAACAAAGAATAACATAAGGAAAGACAGAAAGAGAAAGTGATAGAATTAAAAAAATAAAGAATAACATAAGAGAAGGTGATAGAAGGAAAAAAACAAAGAATAACATAAGAATAGAAGGTAGAAACAAAGAATAACATAAGGAAAGACAGAAAGAGAAAGTGATAGAATGCTTAAAACAAAAAATTACATTAAAAAAGCTGATAGAAGGAAAAAAAACAAAGATTAACATAAGAATAGAAGGAAGAAACAAAGAATAACAAAAGAGAAAGTGATAGAATTATAAAAACAAAGAATAACATAAGAGAAGGTGATAGAAGGAAGAAACAAAGAATAACATAAGGAAAGACAGAAAGAGAAAGTGATAGAATGATTAAAACAAAGAATAACATAAGAAACTGTGATAGAAGGAAAAAAACAAAGATTAACATAAGAATAGAAGGAAGAAACAAAGAATAACATAAGGAAAGACAGAAAGAGAAAGTGATAGAATTATAAAAATAAAGAATAACATAAGAGAAGGTGATAGAAGGAAAAAACAAAGAATAACATAAGAATAGAAGGAAGAAACAAAGAATAACATAAGGAAAGACAGAAAGAGAAAAAGAGGAAAACAAGGTATAACATAACGGAACAGGCCATGATAAAGAGCATGGTATAGTAAACGCAAATTGCATGAAAAGCAGGCGCGCGGTTTTTGCCCAAACCGGAACAGGCTCCGTCATACAATCATGATTGAGAACTCCGTCCGTTCAATCGAATTTTAGCGACCGTGATTCTGCAGAATCATGATACAAAACGCATCTTTTTCAGCGTTTCATGTTTGTGTTTTCAAACACGTTTATTTTTACGACCGACGAAAAAATCGCTTGAACGCATTGCGTTTTAAACTAAACGTCTTTAGAAACCGTGATTCTAGGGTGAAAAAGTGTCGATTAAACGCACCCTTACACACCGTGCTCTCAGTCGTGCATATTGTGACCACCAAATTTGACTTGGCTCCGCGGCGATGGAAAAGACACATTTTATGTTGATTTTAGCAATTTACTGAAGGGAATTTAGATATTATGGACGATCCTTTACAAAAAAGGTGTGTAGGGATTAGATTATATCTCTCACGAGACACTGAATTCTTTAGTTTTCCTGAAATTTAGCAAATTAGTGGCACTCTGAACTCGCTTTATGAGCAGATCTAAATATTCATGGTCGTTCTGCTAGTGAAGGAATCGCGTATTTATATTGCCCATCTTAGACGGAGGGATGATAATGGACTTATGGATTGTGATGTGCATCTGCATCTACTAGACTAACATATATAATTTCCTGATTTGTTTTCTTTTTTTGGGGATAAGAAGAGGAAAGAGAGAGAGAGAGTTGACAAGTCACGCTCGCACAGCGGTGTTGACATTCACACTCTCACCAGTTTTCTACGATAAACCCCTATTTCATAAAAATCAACGAGTCCGGTACCTTGGTGCTTAATTATGCTCTAGCTGTGCACTCGAACGTTCGTCGTCTGTGTGGGAGGTACACAAAATGCCTCATTGATCTTTTGGCCGAATGTGGGTCAAATTTGTTCATATGTTAAATTTTTTCATATGAAGGTTTATTGCATCCCTCAACCTCCACTGGGACCATTGTTCCTTGGAACACCAGTAAAACTTTCTCTTCTTCTTCGTCTTAATCTGCCCCCTCCAGCTCCCTTCTCTGCTGTAATCTTATAATCTTTTGTGACTTAATTGCCTGATTGCACCTTCATCATGTGGAGCAATGATCTTTACATTACAACTGATCCATCATTCCTGTAATTCCTATTATTACACACAGGAAAAGTTGATTGGAAAGACTAGCCTCCCTGAAAGTCAGCTGTATGGAATCAAACCCAATCTTCCAGTGGAGGAAGCGGCCAAGGACTATGCAGAGGTGGTCAAGAAAGTGCCTGCAGCAGAAGGGTCCCAGTGGCCTGTGTTTGATCTTCTTGTGTTAGGCATGGGCCCAGACGGACATACATGTTCGCTCTTTCCAGGTCACAAGCTTCTTGAGGTATGTAGTATTCAAATACCGGTAATAGGTGTGCTTGCAAGTGCATTAGTGAATATGCACTGCATGCAGGTGAGGTCACATTGGATAATGAACGAGACTTAAACGGGTGCAGTATATCACTAATGCGTGGGCTACATTGATTTGTTTTCCAAATGACTAATGAATAGAAAAAAGACAATTTTATATATCCACTTTGATAAGGAGTCATATAAAATGATATTTAGGGAACCAGTGCATTTGTCCTTACTCCTTAGACAATTTAGGCATTTCATCCACGATAGTCTCTCTGGACCAAGGTGTAAAATGTCTACCTGGTAGAGAGGTTCTGTAGGGTTACCTACCAGTATTCTTTGAAAGTGCAGTGCTCAGTGTGAGGCTGTCAGCCATTACTCCCTGGAGCTAAAACCAAGGTACATTGCAATACATATACACTGGGAGGGTATAGATATGTTGTGCACTAGATGCAATAACAAAATGGTGTACAGGTAATTTCTAGCACTAGCAGGACACTTCAGTTGCAACAAATGCCAATTTTTATTGCTTATGTGCCATCTTATTTCTACTATCCCCTCCTGATATCATTCTGTTCTATTTTGTTTAATCAGGAGACATCATTAGTGGTTGCCCCCATCTCAGATTCTCCCAAGCCCCCACCTTGTCGTGTCACCTTTACCTATCCAGTCATCAATGCAGCCAGGAGTGCCTTATATGCATCCGCCGGGGCCGGCAAGGCGGCTACGCTCCAGGTAAGAGTATAGAGAGATAGATAGAGCTGATTCTTTTTCAAATGGGTAGGGTTGTAGTAATGCAATATTACAAATTGATGTGCACTCAATTCCTGATATTTTTGCACAGTATGCCTCTGTCTCAAAAATTGTGTTTCGTATGTGTGAATGAAAAAGAAGAATATAAAGCAAAAGATAACAAATTCCTTATCAACCATATTTTCATATTATTTCAGCTCTGGAAATTTAAATTGATGAAATGCTAGAGAGGAAGGCAAAAGAGTTGTCCTTCCCCTCTCCCTTTATTCCCTTTTCTATATTTCTATTTTCTTATTTTCCTCCTTTTTCACCCTTTGATTTGAGGAGCACATGCCCCCTGCAGCGACAACACCAATATTCATGAAACCTCTTCAAGAGTTGTAACTGAGTACCAGTTAGAAATACACGATGAAAAAGGGCTAACTGATCTGCATTTCAGTTGAAAATTACAAATGTATATCCAGAGGCATCAACTGGTGTTTTTGAATTGTTATTGTCATTGATAATAAGCAGTCTTTATATTATGAGGTGGAGCAATTTGTGTAGCACTTTATAACTGCAAGGAAAAAGCACTATACCAAATACAATGGATTGGATTAGATTGGATATTTAACCTACATGTAGGCACCTATATTGTACCCTAATCAATATTTCTTGTTCTCTTTTGTAAATTCCAGAGAGTACTTGAAGGCAATGAAGACCCTCCCCTGCCGGCTTCAAGGGTGAAGCTATCAAATGGGACAGTTCACTGGTTTATAGACCAACCAGCAGCAGCAGAGCTAAAGGCTTCTTACTGAAGTAAAACTAGTTCCGTCATCAAGCACACAAGGGACTAGGATAGTGCTACAGACCGCTGAAGTTATTGGTAAACAATGAAAGAGAAAGCAACTCAGTTGAGGCAGGTTCAATGTAGTCAGGGTACTTTAGCCAGTGTTTTCACTCTTCGTGAATTTCAGGTAATTTCATTAAATGAAATAATTCCGGGAAATGTTAGGAAAATTGAACAAAAATCTTCTTTTTTAAAAAATCATGTTTACTAAAAAAAAAAAAAGTTCTTTCAAATATTTGTTTAGCGTTAGATATTTAGAAATGTATAGGTCATCCATTGGCCTCTGAATCAAGTTTAAATTTGTGCTCACTTGCTTTGCTCACTCGCAAACTTGGAAGTTTAAAGTTGATATTTCTGGTGCAACAAAAGATGTGTGGCGTTAGCCTAGCTCCCTAGTAATTTGTTAAAGAGAACAAAAAATGGCATGTAGGAGGCAGTTTGAAAAAAAATGAAGCAAATGCCATCAAATTGACGTTTTATTTCTGGAAAGTTTTAGTTTGACAAGTGGAAACATTCCTTTAGCCCTAATAAAGTTAAACATTGAGTAGAGGTAGTGAGGTGCCAAATGAATGTTTCCCTTTTCTACTTTTCAGCTTTAAATCACTTTTTTTCTTCTTTTCGAACTGACAAATCATTTGAGAAATTTAATTCACCCTAATATTGTATCATGTACATCATTTGAAATAGGTACATATTTCCATTTTTTAAAAATAATGCTTGTAAATTTGTTGTAATGCATCTGATATTACCGATCATTTCATTCATTCTTCACTCCTGATTGGCGAATCAGGCCCCAAATATGGATGTTATATGTCTGTGTATTCTAAGAAAACACAACAAAAGGTGTATTTTCTTTCATGAATCATATGTTACATGATCAGTACTAACGATGAAATAGCTGAAAGCTGACTTATCAATTATCTCTGTCTGTCTTCTACTTAGAGACAACCTGCTTCTCAATGTTGATTTTGAAAGAAAAACTAACTTTCTTTAACTAAGTCAATGGCTATTGAAATAAAAGGTAATGTTAACAAAATTTGTTATTTTAAAGCATCTTCTTTATATCAGGGTAATACTGCCATCAAATGAAAAGTTGTAGTTCATTTTTTATGCCTCCGCCACCGAAGGTGGTGCCGGAGGCATCATGTTTTCGGGTTGTCCGTCCGTACGTCCGTACGTCCGTACGTCTGTACGTCCGTCCGTACGTCCGTCCCGTTTGACCGTTATCACAATATCTCAAGAACCATTTAAGATTTAAACTTAAGACTCGGGAATAGTATTTATCACCATAGGAAGACGATCTGATTAGATTTTGGAGTACGTAGGTCAAAGGTCACAGGTCACAGAGGTCAACTTATGAAATTCCTTGTATTGAGTTTGTTAGCGCGATATCTCAAGAACCATTTGAGATTTAAACTTCAAACTTAAGGATAGTATGTATCACCATAGGAAGACGATCTGATTAGATTTTGGAGCACGTATGTCAAAGGTCAAGGGTCACAGAGGTCAACTTATGAAATTCCATACATTGAGATTGTTATCATGATATCTCAAGAACCACTGGAGATTTAAACTTCAAACTTAGTGATAGTGTGTATCACTATAGGAAAACAATCTGATTACATTTTGGAGCACGTAGGTCAAAGGTCAAGGGTCATAGAGGTCAACTTATGAAATTCCATACATTGAGATTGTTATCATGATATCTCAAGAACCACTGGAGATGTAAAAACTTCAAACTTAAGGATAGTATGTATCACCATAGGAAGACGATCTGATTAGATTTTGGAGCACGTAGGTCAAAGGTCAAGGGTCACAGAGGTCAACTTATGAAATTCCATACATTGAGATTGTTATCATAATATCTCAAGAACCACTGGAGATTTAAACTTCAAACTTAATGATAGTGTGTTTCACCATAGGAAGACAATCTGATTAGATTTTGGAGCACGTAGGTCAAAGGTCAAGGGTCACAGAGGTCAACTTATGAAATTCCATACATTGAGATTGTTATCATGATATCTCAAGAACCACTGGAGATTTAAACTCCAAACTTGTTTAAATTGCTCTATGGCGGAGGCATCATTTTCGACTGCGTGCAGTCAAAATTCCATCTAGTTTAAATTGTATTGTTATTTTGTATGGTGAGGGTGTTACTAACTTACTTAATACTAACAAGGGAACAGTCCAATGCACTTGTTACTGGTTACATCAAAATATGTCGTTATCTGATAATCCATTGCACATTTAAAACAACAAATCTGATTGGCCAATGGCCAGCCTTTTTCAAAATTTGTGCATGCAATGAGGACCTTGATTGGCCATTGTCATTTTTCAATTGATTGCAAACCTATGTTCTACAGGGCCCAGATCAGAATGAGTAGGGATTTTTAGATTCGCACAAAGACAATGTGGATTGCTACGATCGACGTCCTTTTAATGCACTGCCTTGAATGGACGTCACACGTATCAGTCCACGCAAATCTAAAAGTCCCTAATATCAAGTGTATTGATACGTCTGATGTTGATTCATTTTATGTTCATTACCGGTAGCTAAAAATAGGTGCAATTCATGTATTGTCTTCTTTGCATATGATGTGAAAACTGCCTACTAAAATGCTATTTGATTGCAGACCTTATAAAAAAGATTTTCAATTTATAGAACTATTCTAAAGGAATACAATTTCTTTATTACTTTATATGATCAGATAAATTTCTCATTATTTTTGCTAGAATTTAGCAGATGGATTGATGCAAAACTACAGAAATTGTGTAGAAATAAAGGGAATTAAAATTCTATAAACAATTGTACTTTTTGTTGTAAGTTACAAGTTGTAGTACCAGTAAGTATACAGATTCTTAAAGAAATCCATATGCAATATATTATACATGTATATTTTGATGCTTTCAGCGCACTTTTGTTATTAAAACCAAATGAGAAAGTAATACTTTGAATAAAAAAGAAAAACATATCATAATTAATGTTTTTATGTGCTTTTTATTCACATTTTCATGTACATCATATACCTACTAATGGACGTTCTTTCTTTAACATCAAGTTCAGAATAAGTGTAAAAATATATCATGTTATGATAAAGCATTTCACATGAATTTGAAGCAGAGAGAAATGAGAGAGAGGGGTATAACTTTCCAAATCAAATGCTGTATAACCAAAAACTTTGAGTGCATGAAATATTTGCGAATGTTTAAGAGTTAAAGTTGGGAAATTATTGTAACATGCACAGTTGACACAACACATAAATTTTACACTGGTGAAATGTTCATATACCAAGACGTTGTGTATACTAACAGTTGAATTCAAATCGGTGATTTAAAGAAATTTACATGCAATATTTATCAATCTTTAAAGACATAAAAGACAAACAAAGGACCTTGCTTTCCAGGCTGTTGGCTGCCCCCCCCCCCCCCCCCATTAAAAAAAATGGAAGGAAAGGGAAAGAAAAGAGGAGACAAAGGGAAGGGGAAAAAGAGGAAAAAGAAAAGAAGGGGGATATCAGTTGCAATTTCCCGCCAAAAAGTTGTGAATCGGGGGGGGGGGGGGGGGACAAAAAGCCCTTGCCTCTCCCCGCCCCCACCAAAAATAAGAGAGAATGAAGGGAAGGGAAAGAGGAGACTGAGCAAAAAGGGAAAACAAAACAGGAAGAAGAAGAAAAAAAATGTGAAAAGTAGGGGAGATCAGTTGCAATTAATCCCGCCAACAACGCTTGGATCGGGGGGGGGGGGGGGCGCGAAAGGTCCTTGCCTCTCCCCCCCCCCCCCCCCAGCAAACCTAAGAGAGAGAGAAGGAAGGAAAGGGAGAGAAAAAAGAGAAAGAAGAATGGTAGGGAAGATCATTGGCGATTGTTTATATATATATATATATTTATTTTAATATATCAATAACATAGGATAAGGGAAGGAGGGCTACACCGAATATATTGAATAAAAGTGTTATGGTGGAGAGAGTAGGAAGAAGAGGAGAACACACTTTCAATGTATTTTCATTAAAAATGTATTACTTGTACACGTATGATAGGTTGGAATATGTACTAAATTGAGCTGCATACTGACACAATTAACCACCAACCACATACATAAAATACCAAAATACCAAAATGACATTCCTCAAAACAGCAGCATAATTATGATGGAATATCATGACTTCATAGTTCATAGTAAATTTCAAAATTCATGTCAAACAAGTTTAAAAGGATGTCATACAAATTCTTTACAAAATTAAAGTACACATACATGTCTCTTTCTCGTTCTCCGTCACCATTTCTTACTTTCATTATTTAAACGTAAGAATGAAAACAAACAGAAACAAGCATTTATTAAATATGAATACTTTTTATTTAATATAATATTTACAATATTTACAGCATAACGAATTTTACATGTTTCTATACAAATGCGAATTCAATTGATTGCACCTGTGGAATACAGCACAAACTATTTTTTTCTGTCTATTAATCTTATATATCAGTATTTACATTCTTCTTTCAAGTTTCGGGAAAACATATTTTGATATCAGAAAAATTATTCTGGATTCGATATAATCAAGCCTTTGCTAATATGGCATTGTGACCAAAATTCTGATGCATTTCTTTTGTTCACGTTTGATTATACTTGCTCCACCTTGACATCATTTAATATTCATACACTTGTCGATTCAATTTGTAGTTGAAATTCGACTTTTTAGGGTTAAATTTTACCATTACCCTATTTATTAAATATGCAATGTAAAACGCATTCCAGTTTCCTTTGGTCATGAAATGCGCTCTACAAAATCGAATTACACTGTGTCTATTACTCAGATAGCTTAGTCATATAACAATATATACAATGGTGCAATACATAACACAGTGATTACTTTCTAAAGCATATTGTTTTTGGCAAATCAACAATAGTATATACATTTTTTTGAAATGATAATATGTACAGTTTTATCGTTTTTCCCTGATTTAAATCACCATACTGTTGTCTTTCTACTTTTCTACCAATCCTCGGTCTGTAGCTGTTCTTAGGCCTGCTCCTCTATCATCATCTCCTGCTCCTCCTTCCCCTCCTACAGTCTTCATTGATGTTATCAAACTTTCCATCTTAATTGTTCTTCATATTGAATCATATCTCTACTCCGTCATCCTTCTTTTCCTATATCCATCTACTATAGACCATGTAGTTCTGGATTCAGTTCCCCTATGCACTATTCCTTTTCCTCCTTTTGCAGTTATACAAGTTCTACATTCATTTTAAATAAGCTACAGTATCTGCTATACATGGTTTGTCCCTTCCCCCGTTCCCCTTCAGATGAATAAACTAACAAGAAGATGACCCGGGACCATCATCCCCTTCTTCTATATATACCGGCTGTATTTCGTCGAGGATTTCTTGCACAGTTGGCCTATGTTCTTCATCAGCCAGGTAGATTTGCGTACCAAAACACTCGAAATCATCATCCCTCATGGCGCGACCTATGATCGCTAGCAATCTGCCTAAGGAGTAGACATCGCTGGATGTTGAGCAAGGCCTGGCTTCCAACACGCATTCAGGAGCAATATGGCAACACCCTCGGCCGCTACGGTAAAAATCAATTTGCTCTTCATCCAGAGGCATTACAAAAGGAGTGGCGATTTCCGAAGCCCATCCCAGATCGATAATCTTGGCTCGCCAGCGTCCGGACTCCTCGACAACCAGTACGTTGTCTTCTTTGAGATCATTACACAGGAATCCCATGGTATGGAGCGCTTTCAGTCCTTCTGCAACATCATTGAGGACATCAAACCACTCATCTCTGGTGAGATCCGGTCCTGTCTTCAACATGGACTTCTCGAGACAGTCAGTGATGGTGTAGCTACGATCCTCAGACTCACTCCCAATGAACTCCATGGCCAGGACTGCCTGGTCACCTTCGATGTCAAAGCTTCCATAGAAGGTAGGAAACCATGGGAGGCCACTGATTGCTTGATGAATCCTGACCTCGTTCCTGAAGTACTTTCCAGCGTATTCCACGAGCTTGGCAGCGACGGGGATCTTCAAGACTGCGTGACGGAAGAGGTAGACAGTTCCTGTGACACCTCTTCCAAGTTCGATACTGCATCTCGACTCC